ACATTTATTGCTTTGATTAAAAACAATATTCTTGACGTTGAATTCTTCCAAAACGCAGTTTTACTCAAGAAAGAAATTTTTTCTAGTATTATTGAGTACGAAAATCAATATTCAACTTATGCAATTGCAAATTTCTTTACAAAATTATTAAAATATTACCCAGGATATGCAACTGCTCTTCCATGTTCGGATATACTAATATCAAATTATTTCAACTTTTTTAATGACGTGAATTCAATTATAAATAACGAAGATTTTGTTTATCTTCTCAAATTTATAGTTTTATTTTATAAAGCAGTCGATATAACATCTGAGATGGCTTTAGAATTCATAAAAACACTTGAAATTCTGCGAAGTCTTTCTCCTCACTATTCATTTACAGAGTATGTAGTTCAGGGGTATTATTGTGTACTTCCTCTTATACCCATGCAAATTTATCTACCGATTTTTTAAATTCACATGAATTTTTAATTAATTATGCAATTGAGAATTCAAATCTTCACAAATATTTGAAATTATATTCCAGATGTTTCCGCAGATTTGATAGCGATGAAATATTCAAAAATGTTTTTCATATCTTAAACCTTGTAGAAGTTACAACAGAATATTTATCAGAAAATCAGGATCTTTCTGAGAAACAGATCTTTATTTGCAACGATATCCTAACGAGGGTTAATTTAATTTAATTTTTATTTTTTATTTCAAGTTTGAGTAAACTTTCAAGATAATCTATATAAGCCTTTTGATGTTCTTCATCTAGATTCTTGTTTAATATGTGATGAATTTGATTTTTTTTGAAAATTCAAGATAAAATTCTTTTTTATCTTGATCAACAACATGAACAATTCGAGTACAGCGTAACATTTCATCAATATTTTCTGTTTTCTTCGTTTCTAGATATTTTTCAAATATTTCTTGCGGAATCTCATTTTGATATACCCATTTATTTTTTTCCGGATGCTGATCTTTGTACTTAACGAAATATTGCTTGACTATTCGCTCAGAAACAACATATTCGATCTCTTTTCTCTTTCTCATTGAATATTTGTGACACTTTTGAATTCAATCAAATCAAAAATATTTGAAATTGCTAGAATTTTTTTTCTTTCTCATGAATATTTGAAATGACTCAAAAGGAAAACTCGTTCGATTCAATTCAATTTTGAATCAGAATTTTTTAAGGACCAATAAATCAAATTATGTTAAGAAATTATTTCTTTTTTAACTCAGAGTATCAAAAGTACGTTAAACCTTCAATTTTATCTCATGTCGGAAAGCGAACCGACAATAGTGGAAGAGAATCAAACTATATCAGTATCCATCCAAGCTATTGTTGATGAAGAAAAAGGAGATGGAGCTGATATGCTGGATTTAATTCAAAATGAATTGAATTCCCGTAAAAAATTGAAATATAGAATGGAAATACCTGAAAATCCCCAATTCCAATTCTCAAGGAAAGATATAGCAAATTAAAATTTACAGATCCTACAGAAGCTGCTATATTTATTGCAAAAGATTCATATAATTCTTTTTATCCATTAAATTTTGAGCAAGGAAAAAAGTTTCGTTGTCCTAACTGCCAATTTTGCATGGAGCTTGTAAAGACTCATGAAAATGGTCAACTTTTCTTCATTCCAGTAATTAAACACGAGCATAGAGCAAAGCAATGCAAGCCGAGTAACAATATACCAAAAATTCTTAAGTTGCAAGCAGGAAAAAAAGTCTATGAATTAGCAAATTCTGATAATGTTCCTCAATGCAAAGAAATTTTTGCAAAAGAATTGAATATTCCCAATGCAACTTATACGATGTTCCATAATATAGTAAATAAACTTAAAGGAACCACAAAGGGGATAGAATTCAATCTTACAATTATTTCTCAACAATTTTTTCAATCATAAACAAAATCGAACAAGGATTCTGCGAAATGATTTTAGTTAAAGAAGTTAACAATGAAATTGAATTGCATACATTTAAGAAAGGTGATGAATTACCTGAAAATTCAAAAGACTTTCAAATTTATTCATTTATTGTAATTCCTCCAATAACTCATTTTTACATGCAAACACAAGCTTTTTGCGGAATAATTCAAATTGATGGAACGTTTTTATTTTGTATTAAAAAAGGAAACTTACTCATTATTGGTACACCTGCACCAAATAATAGACTTATCCCTATTGCATTTGCATGGTCTGTTAGTGAAAATACGATAACAATTAAGGATATGCTCACTAAATTGAAATCTTTTATTCCACCAAGCAGATTCAAGAATATTTATTCCGATCAAGGTCCGGCAATTATAGCTGCTGTTAGAGAATCAGGCTTTTCTTGCGATCATAAATTTTGCTTACGTCATTTTGCAACAAAAAGGGAATACATCAATGTCTATTCCGAAATTGTTGAAGTCGCTTACGCAGACCATCCTCAAAAACGAATTGACTTGATTAAAAAGTTAGAAACTCGTTTACAAGAGGAATATCCAAACCGCGAAAATAATCAGGATCTCTTTAAGTACTTAGATAGTATTAACCCATTTGAAGGATTCGCTGACTACACCGCTGGCATACTCACAACATCTCTTATTGAATCCCTTAATGCCGAAATTAAAGATAAATGGGATACATATGAACCCGCCGAACTAATTATCCGTCTCATTGAACATGAATTCAATCTTGTTAAAAATGTTTTAACAGGTGATTTTAAATCAGATAATATTATCAAAAATCTAAATGAAACTTTGAAACATTCAGATATGTTTAGCTCGGTATTATATGATCCAATTCAAGAATTATATTATGCAACTTTTGGTCGCTATACATATTGCGTAAAAATTATGTCAGATTCACAATATTCATGCACATGTAAGCACATCGAATTATACGGATTACCTTGTATTCATGTAATCGCCGTATTGAATCACTTTTCGAACAAAAATCTTCTTAAAAATTTGAATGATGCAGTTCATGCTCGCTTCAAATGTTCAGAGTTTATGACTCCTGTGGAAGATTTAATGAAATTTTATGTTGACCAAGCATCTTTAAAAATTCCCGGAATAAATTTCAACCTGGGAGAGATTGAAAAATTAAGGGGAAAAAGGACTAGGATTAAAGCATTTTACGAAAAGTGATGCTGTGTTGTTAGTTATTTATTTACTTTTTTTAATATTTTTTAAAAAAAAAAAGAAAATTCAAATAATTTTGTATCTCCCATGATATATCGACCCACGAGTACTAATGTGGCTATAATTAGAGATTGCAACTCTATTATGATCATAGTCCGGTGATATACAATAAGATTCAAATTTTGAAAGAATTAAATTAATAAAATCCCGGTGAAAAAAATAAAAACAGCTTCTAAAAGTATAGTTATCTTAAAATACGAACTTTAACACAAGTTTTTTGATCCAATAGAAAATTGAATTCTTTGAATAAATAAAATATTTTATGTATTAACATATTAAATTTCCTAATTATTTTTTCTTCTTGGGAAAATTTTTGAATTCGAATAGAAAATTCAATAAATTGAAATTGGGTTGAAAGAATTCTCCATATTAACTTGTCATATATTTCAGATCATATAAATTAAGTTAATTAAATTTTTTAAAAACCTTAATAGGATTAAAAAAAAGAATTTACACTCTCTCACTTTGAAAACGTAGAAAATGCCAATCTATTGGTATACATTTTAGTTTTGTTAAGTTTACAAAACGATTACTCTAGATTTTAAAGATTTATCAAGAATTTAGAGAATATCCTTCTCAAAACAACTTCAATAGCGAAGGATTAGTATTGAATCGGATTTGTAACATAATTATAGTACATTACAATACAATTTCTCCGACTTTTAAATATTTTTGAAATATTTACAAAATATGCTCTTTCTATCATCGATACTTTAATACAGAGCAAATTTAGTAAATGTCATCACGTTATTTTTTCATAAATCGTTTTCGAACTTTTGAAATATTTATTTTAAACCAGTTTTCTACATTTAATATGTGAATTATATCAAAAGTAGATGGGCGATACTTGGAAATCTATTTAAACTATTAGTTTGCTATTATTGAAGAGCATATAAATATATATGTAATAACGTATATATATGCTTATTTCTCTCATGTTTCGAAATGCAATGTGATATTGCACTCACTTTTTATAGAAATCTACCATACTCATTGAAATGATGACATATACGTTTGTCTATCTATCTACGTTGTAAAAACCTTCATTTGCCCTAAGCTCAAAGTTTTTCTCATTCATTGCTTTAAATTGACCGTTCAATTTAAAGATCGTCCCGTATTTTCAATTAGCCGTCTCAAAAATTGAATTATATTCAATTTAAAGGAGTCTAAAAATTGAAAATACATTATATATCGTGGGAATAAATCAAATTTAATATTTTTTAATTATGGAAAATGAAAACTTCATATGAATTTTTTTTCAAAGAGATAGATATATGGGGTATTATTATTGTCGTCTGGCGGTTTTAGACGACAATGCGAATTTTCAAATAATAGGATTTTTAGCCAGATAAAGAGCTACTCCATATATCATGCGTGTTTGCATACTATATACATAGATGGAATTGATGTTCTTCCTTTATTTAGGTACCGAAACATGCTTGAAAAATCTATTTTTTAGACGACAATGATAATTTTGTCACTTTTCCAGACGACAATAATAATTTGTCACCTTTTTAGACGACAATAATAATTTTGTCACTTTTTCCAGACGACAATAAAACATCCTCTAGATATATTTTCAGTGTAATTGTATTGATTATAAATGTGAGTCCATATAAGCATATTTTCTATAGGAATTTCCTATGAATCTTTGTAGATGACGAGTTCGAAGCTCTTATGAAGTATGCAAATGGAAACTTACATATCTCTACTATATTTATATTCGAAATCACCTAAAAGAAGTTAAAGAAATATTAACATAAAATACTTTTAAAATAAAACATGAATAACAAACAAAAAATAAAAATGAAAATAAAAGTTAAATGTAGAAATTAAATGGATCGTCAGTTGAAGCATCATCATCGTCATCAAGCTCTGTAGTGAAAATGAATGATTGAGGGATGGTTTCAATAGTAGTTTGAAGATATGTTTCTTCATCTGAGTTGATGATTTTAGTTTCTTCTGTTTTGTTTTCGATGTCTGTTAATGAAGAACTTTCTGATTTAAAGTGACGGTACAAAACAACGGACAAAACAATGAGAAGACTTAAACCAACAAGACATCCAACAATAATGCCGACAAGTGATGAAACATTATTCTTCTTATTTGAATGTTCTTTTTGACTGTTGTCGTCATTACCATCGGATGATGTTGAATCAATTGGAACAAAGATTGTTCGTGCTGGTGTTCGTGAAACTGATGGAGTACTTTGGAGTGTTGAATATGGTGTATTAGAAACAGTTGATGATGGTGTTGAATATGCTGTTTCAAATGCTGTTTCTTTCAAGGTAAATGATGGTGTAGAAACAAATGTAACAAATGGTGACTGAAAAACTGTTTCATATGGTGTTTCTGAAGCAGTTGAATATGGAGTTTCTTCTGATGTTGTAAATGGTGTAATGAAAGGTGTAACAGCTTTAGAAACATCAGGAGTAATAAAAGGTGTTCCAACAAAAGTTTCAAAAGGTGTTTTAGAAACAGTTTGGAAAGGAGTTAAATCAGCTGTTAAATAAGGAGTGACAGAAACAGTTTCATAAGGAGTAACAAAAGGAGTAAAACTTTCAGTGTAATAAGGTGTTTGATAAGCTGTTTGGAAAGCAGTTTTGTAAGGAGTTTCATAAGCAGTTTCTATAGGAGTTACGAAAGGGGTTTGTGTAGGAGCTAAAGTAGGAGTAGCAGGAGGAGTAGGAGTAGCGATTGGTGTTGGATTTGGTGTTGTATGATAATGTAAATCAATATACAGTTTTCCATGACTTTCTCCTCTGTTTAAATTATAACAACCCAAAATAATTGTTCTATTATTTTTAGTAATTATTTCATCAGTTCCATACCATCCATTATAATGTTGTGGATCACATCTGAACATGAATTTCCTTCCTTTTCCTGATATTCCGTAACTATCATCTGTTACAGAAACAATCATATTATAAACAGCATTTGTATGCCAATTAGTAGACAAAACAATATCAAATGTATGATGTTGAGGAAGTTGGAAATAAAGATATTCAACATCTTCATCGTAAACATCGTAAATTCTTGTTGCCCAAATAGCATTAAAATAATAAAGTAATCTCATTTTGTTTTGACAATAAATTCCTCTTCTTCCTTCTTCGCATTCACATATTCCATTGTCAACACATTGGCCAAGTCCACTGCAGTTGCCTGGACATTGTATATTGTTTCTTTCCCTTTCAATTTTGATTGGATTTAATAGGGAATTTTGAGTGTCAAAACCGCCAAAAATTGACAAAGAAAAAGTGACTTTTTCATCATCTTCTAAGTAATAATCATTGGAATAGATATGAATAATGATTTCTTGCGGATCCATATCTTTTATGATGATTCTTTCTGTATTTGTTTTTTCTTCGGATAATTTACGATTCAAATTGTTTCCTAAATACACCATTCCATTTGCTTCGACAGCTAAGTTAAGATCTGCAAACAAAATGCCAAATTGGAAGGTTGACAACGGGATATCTAAATAATTCATAGTTATTGAGAAATCAGACCTTCTATCTGTGGTCAGTTTGTACATGATATGATCACGTGGCGATATCTCCTCTCTGTCGAGGAATCTGACTCCGAAATCTCCAAATCCAAGAGAATTTTTGATATTTGGAATTCCGAAACCGACATAAGGGTTGTGCAGGGGTGCTTCTGTTAGGTTCCTGGCTCCATTAATTATTACGGATTTAATTAACGATGAAGTTGGATTTATTGAATTTTCCGGATTTGCAGATAAAGTTGGGTAATAGCCATCAACGAAGTACTGCCTGACTTGTGCTGCAAGGCCAGCTACTTGCATTGCCGCTGCGTACGTTCCATTTTGGTAATTTAGAGGATTTGAATTTTCATCATCGAAAGGAACGCCTTTCTTAGCGCCAAGGATGAGTTCTCCAGGTGCTACAACCTCTGGTTTCTTCGCTCCGAAATAAGATGGACCGGGAGTTGTGAAATCAGAAGCTTCTTCCAAATTATTTTTGATTGAACCGACAGTTAACGCATTCAAGGCATCAGATGGACTACTCATCTCACCATTGACGTCTCCTGCTGGTAAAACAAACAAAATTTCCTTGTTTTTCCATGCCAATAAATTTATTTCGTCTGTATTCGTGTGGAACAAGGAATTATACACTAATGGAGTGGTAATGATATGGGAATCAGCTTGTTTCATGAGATCCATCAACTTATCATTATCATATACAAATGTTTCGTTTGCAACCATTTCTCTGGTGTAAGTTTCGTTCGGATTTGATTCATTTACAAATGTTTGGTTGACAAATGTCAAGTTTTTCTCAATAACATGTAATTTCGAATCAAATGAAACTCCAGAGTAACCTTTGACAGTAGAATCATCATAATTATATGGTTTACCTGCAATGATGCTTGCAAAGTACGTTCCATCAGTTGTTGAATCAACGGTTTCAGTTTGTAAATCGTATCTTGAAATTTTTCTATGGTAATCTATATTTTCATTGTAGCGAATATCAAAAGCATCAGTCATATCACCAGTTTTATCATAGAAAAACGAATGATTTAAGTCAATTCCAAAACCATGATACGTAATTTTTTGGTTTCTACCAGTAATTCCATATTGATTTAAAGAATTTGAAGTCCTGAATAGCTGATTACCTTGTAAAACCTCTTCATCGATGGCGCCAGAATCTAAATCTGAAAATTTTTGATTATATGAAAAAGATGGAATAACTTGGTACTCTAAAACTTCTGGAACCTCAGAAATCTGGTCCAATATTGTAGTGTTTTCTTCATAACATAAAAAGTGCTCATACCTTAATTTTTTACAACTGATGTTGTAGTCCCAGTCATCTGTTGCACGGAATCTGTAATAAGATGTAGGAGAATACCTGAGGCGTAGAAATTCATATCTTCGATGACTTTCAATGTTAAAATCGATATTTGTCGAAAATTCTGCATATTGCTCGTTTGTAAGATAAGATATGTATGATTCGTGAGTAATTCGATGTTCAAATCTAAAAATGTCTGGATAGGTTTGCCTATAATTGTCAAATTTTTTGGATTTTAATGGGATTAAAGGACTGATAAGGTACCATCCTTTTGGTTCTGGTTCCACTTGATCTTCAAATAGCCTTTTGGCGAATTTGTCCAAGCGGAAAGTAGATAAAAAAGAGCTAAAATTCAACATTAAAAAAATAATCGTCTAAATTCTGGATGTATTCAATTTTAACAAAAATTTGGAGTTGCATGACAGAAATTGAAATATATACTCAGAATCTTATTTTGAATATTTATTACTTCGATCAAATCTTTATCCGCTCAAAATTTTTTACAATCAGTTACTTTTTCGTATATTTGATTTATGACCAAGCCAAAAGAATGCTGCTGCTATTTTGATAAAATACCCAATAATAGTTGTTTATTACATATGGAAAATTAATCTTTATCATTGTAATACACAGCGAGTTAAAAAAAAATAATAGAAATTAAACATCTCTTTCATATACTATCTAGCATCGCTGCAAGGGGATGGCCAATATCCATGATAATATCACCGGCATTTGTCCATACATTAATTTTGACACTTTTTTATACAGTTTTTGTAGTCATCTCAACGAGTGAGCAGTAAACTACTTCAAACTTACTATTGTGGCTCTCACAGGAGATTGAAACTTTCAAATACTTAGTTAATATCATCTTCCAAGCGCTTTCTACAAATGTCAGCCATCTTATTTGAAACTTTGATTCAGACAAATTGATTCACTTATAAAGACTATCAGGCATAAATCTTTAAATAAGCCCAATTTTGCAGTTATTTTCAGCCAAATGAAATTTTTTTCTTAAATATTTAACAAAATTCTTTTTACAATTATAATTACTAGCTCAAAAAAGAAGAAACATCTCTACATATACTAGTTTATTCTATTCGGAACAAAATATGAAAAATCAAAAGAAATTTTAATACGGAACCAAACTAATCCAAGTAACGACACAACGAATACAATATGAGGCTATTTCAGTACTAATTGATTGAAAATCAACAAATCTTCAAGAATTAATTTGGACCGGAACAGGCAGCCTTTGATTATAACAGAGCGAAGACATCGAGAACAGTCATATAATAATGATTAAATCATTATTCTTTGAACTTTTATAGCTTATTTTTCGACAATGATTATTTAAACCATAAACAGAAATATATATGTCTAAATCTACATCTGCAAACAATTGTTTTGCATCTAATAGCATAATTAGATTCAGAATTCCCGAAATAATATATATTCATGTATCCATTACCTTCGTTGGAGCCTTCACTTGTTTCAGCAGTGACTTTGAATCTATCCGAACTCCAAACACCTCCTGTATACCCACTACCACCGCCACCTGACCCACAGAAACCTTGATAATGGTCGACTGTTGAAGAACCACCGCCACCACCAAAGTATCCGCCTCCTCCACCATATGCATCTAGCATTGTAGAGGCATTACCACCATAAAATAGGCTGCCACTTGTTGCACCTCGATATGAATAAGCTATTCCGCCTGATTGATCAGTGTCACCTCCACCAACTCTCCCTTCAGGTCGTAAGGATTTTCCATCACTTCCATGGAGTCCACCAGCATTTCCTCCTTCGTTTTCATTATCATACCCACAAGCACCTCCTCCACCGGCAGCGACGATTATTCTGCTCTCAATTTTATCAGAGCCGATTCTAATGTCTGTACTTCCACCGCCACCACCACCGGAGTAGGTTCCATAATGAGTGTCATAACCTCTAAAACCTCCACCATTAAACCCTCCTGGCGTGTTATTATTTGATTTATGGAATTTTGGTCCATCTTCACCTTTTCCGCCAAGAAAGAAATATGCTTCTGTAGAGATGTTATTTACGTAATATCCAACACTGTAGCCTCCATTTCCGCCTTTATTTGCACGAGCAAATCCTCCGGCTGCACCGTAGAGCTCGAATTTGTAGTACCCTGGCTTGAGTGTCGTAACATATGGCGTGCATGTGAGGCTATTATTGCAAGGGTAATATAACGTATATCTTAAAAAATCTACAATAGTTCCATTATCTACTTTCGGTCGTCCAATGCTATTATCCTGTAATCGAAATTCCATATTGAAGCCATTTTACTTGCCTTTTAACATTGAAAAAAATGTCAGTTTTTTTATCTTTTGTCATTTCAGAGCCTTAAAGGCAAGTTAAAATAACATTCTAAGTGCGTGAGTCGTTTTAGCAGCTTTCATTGTCTATCTTAGTTTGTAAATTCAATTATTATGATTTGAATTTAACCAAAATGTCAAATACATTATATTTTATTATTAAATATAATCAGAATATTGAGTAAAATAATATTTTCAGAACATTTACTCGATATTTTTTTGATAAATATTTCTATTTAAGACAGCAACTTTAATTACAAAGAGATTGAGAAGTATCCCCGTGCATAACACCATCAAATATTAAATAAGACCATGCATTCTGAGATATATTCATACAAAAAATTTGATTAACAACCAATGATAAATGCATTACTTATTTCATGGCTATGTCTTGCAATAAACAAAATTGATTTCCAGCAGTGCGAATTGTCATTGGCCAGAGGTAAACAGATACGAAAGCAATCAAAAGAAGTAGTTATAGTGAAAATGATTTTTCAGCAAAGTTATCGATTCATTCGGTTTGATAGTTAACTAATTAACCAAAGAAAACAGTGACAATTGTATCATTTGGAATATGATAATCACATATAACACGATTGAGCACCATTGCAAAGAAGAAAAAAATAACAAATTAATTAGATAAGAATGTTTTCGTGAATGCATAGGAAGCTATCGTTTGTCTAGAAGGAAGAAAAGCAGATGGAATTTCTCACCAACTACACCACAAAAATTATGAATAAATAACGATGAAAAAATGAATTTAGAGGAACTGTTCTTCATCATGCAACATGTTTTATTTGAAAGGAAACACTCGAACTGCGCATATCATATTGTGCAAATCTCAATGAAAAAGATAAATCTGAACAGATCTTGATATTGTAGCAAATTTTATTAGTAAACAAATATAGCTGACATTCTTAATACACATGGTGCTGTTTCTTCTGCATAATTTATTTAAAGAATAGTGTTGAGCATTTATAAATACAGAGAGATAAAATATTAGATAACTCGACAATAAAAAATTTTCAAACAAGGTTTGTTTTATTCTCATTAGAAATCATTCCTGGAATGGAGTTATAAAATGGTAAGAGATGTTTTCTAGAAATTTAGTTAAAAATAAAGGATGAAATTGTTTGTTTTGAATTCATGAAAAAAACACCCAAAAAATTTGAATTGATTTGAATTGCAACCTTTCATTCAGAATTTTCCAAAAATATTTGAATAAATAATATTGAATATTTTAATGTGATTCATCTGTGTATATGCATTTCCCAACTTTTATAAAAAGCCTACCGTTTGCCGTGAATATATCATTGCTGTCCGCCGCGTTTTTTTTTTGTACGTTAAAAATTGTACGTTACTTTAATTCGCTCGGCGTAAGCCGAGCATGTGTATTTCAAAACTATTCTTTCACAATAAATAATTTCGCTTGCTACTTTACCTGTCGCACAGTTTATTCAAATTTAACTTATCATTAATATTAGTATTCACATAAAGCTTTATCAATTTCAATATTAGCATGAAGTATCATTCGAAGTAAGCAATCAACCGAATCTTTAGCATAGTAGGGTAAGATTGTTCCAATGTTACATATTTATTAATTTACATTAGAATAACTTTACCTTACTATGTATAGAACATACAATTATTTGTCCATTATGGATCAAAGAATGCGAGTATACTACCCACACTTAAAATTCTTCTATTGCTTCTCAATCAATGAGTGGCTACAGAAGTACTTTGAGCATCTCGCCCAAATTTACAATTATAGTTACCAGAAGCTTTTAAATACGTCATTATAGATAAAACTTTCGAAGTCCTACATTCAATGCAGTACTTCCAAAGTTCTTCTATCCAGTATTAGATAATGTCTCTGAAGCGTGCTTCTTACAAGGAAAGCTATTAATTTGTTTCGTTGAATAAATAGTAATATTTATTTTTTATCCAATTTTTTTTTCAAAATATCGCGATATGAGTGTATCTTTATCATATTCTAATGTTCTATATTAACATATTATCATTTCTTCTCACTCAACTAAAAAAAGTTTTAATGCTTAGATCTATCCCACATCAGAGAGCAAAAAAAATTCACGGATGAAATATTTGAGAGAAAAAACGTAAAAAATCTCCCGTTACGGGAGATTATACGAGAAAAACGTATTTTTTCTCTCAAATTTGCAGTAAAAAAGTGACGCCGTCACGGGAGACTTCTCAGAATTTACGGATGGTCACGGATCGATGATAGACTATTGGCGTGACGCGCCGATTGTTCGCAGAAAAATCAAATTCTCCTTAACACAACAAAAATAGCTGCTTCTCCCGAAAAGAAATATAAATGCTCATTTAATATCCCTCATAAATTTCCAAAAAAATTGCAAAATTCAAAATTCGTTATTAAAAATTACATTTTTTCTCTACCGTAATCATCCACAATGACGGAATCCGACGGTTCCCGTTGGGAAATACATAGTCTGTGTAGTTTAATAATTTGGTTCTGAAGATTGTTTGTATATTATATAATTTATAAACAAAAATTCGAGTCGGAATAATATTCTTGAACATGAAATAACAATGAGGATTTGCATTGATTAAAGGATCATGGAGAATTTCATCAAGACAAGATTTTATAATGAACAATTATAAAAATATTGATATAGGTTTAATATCGATTAATTGTAAAGAGATTACACAAATTCTCTTTTATTACGATTTAAACATCAAATAATTCTGATATTTTTATTAATATTCAGCAAACATTTGTTATTAAAAATAGTGGTTTTATTTTGGGATGATTTCTTTCAGATGGTATTAAAAAAATCCTTTAACTCTAATACCATCATCTTCTATCCCATGAATTATATGATTATAAAATATTTTTGTTCCTTCACATTCTTTTATGAATTTTTTAATACCATATTTTTCAACTAATGTTGGCAGACCACTGAACAAATCAATACCCATGCCAAGTTGATTTTTCTTGACTTTTGTCCCAATTGCTGTTAAGAGTGTTGGATAAATATCCATACTTGTGAATTCTCTATTTCTAGTATAGTTACTTCTCATGCCAGAGTTAATAATCATATTGAATGGGCGCCTTGAAAAATTATGCCTTTCAGCAAGCTCTGGATACCCATTTCCTCTCACAATGTGATCACCAAATAGTGCAATCACAGTATTATTATACCAACTCTGTTGCTCCATCCATTTCAATAAATTAGAGATTCTTTTATCAGAACATTTCACTACTGTAATCATAGAATTCTCTTCATAGATACAATCTTGACATTTAAAACCTGGTTCATGAGTATCCAATGTAAGAAAAGAGGCAAAGAATGGATCCTTTGACTGACTCATTTCTGTTAAAGCTTTCATAAAGAAAGGAGTTATATCTCGATCCAATGCATAAATATCATTTGAGTTAGGAAGCACATCATATTTGCTCCATAACTTATTGATACCATGACTATAATATAGATCCCCAATTCCCCAGTCATTTGGTGTTGTACCATAAGTTACTGTGGTGTTGTATCCAACTTCTTTAAGAATATCCCAAAGACATTTAAATTTAGGAAAATATGGCTCATTATTTGTAAGGCCAGAGCGTGGAGGTTCTGTCAAGAAGGCATAACCGCATGCCATAGCAAACTGAGCAGCCGTTGTAAATTTAGTTCTTGGAATAACATTAACACCACCGACTTTATCCCCATTAAGATTAGAAAAGAAAATCGAGTTATTAGAGAACGCAAAACTTTCCAAATTTGGTGATTTAGATGTTTCATATATTCCTCCATGTTCCTTAGAAAAATACATTGTCTCGTATGCTTCTAAGCTGATAAATATCAAGTTCTTTTTCTTCTCTGGAAACTCAATTTCATCTAAACTCGGAAGCACGGAATTTTCATATAAAAACTTGCTGCTTGTGACTACTGGCGGCTTGTAGAGTGGTTTAGCCATGAAAATGAAGGAAATCAAGTACACAAATGATAAGAATCTATATGTTGGTTTAAAACTGTATTTGTAAATCGAAATAGTATATTGCGTCATAAAATGAAAGAGTACTAAAGCTGTAATTGCAAGAATTAAATTTTCTATTAAGTACTTCACGACAAAGAGCATTACAATCTTTGTATTATCTTTGTAAGTGGCGGTTGATTGAAGTAATGCAACCCATTCATCATGGAATAGAGGGCCAGTAGATTCATAAACATCTTTGCATGCGGATATGCCAATTGCTAATAAAAGAATCGTTATCATTGATTCTACATTATTTAGTATCATTATTCTCTTTGTTCGCTTGTTGAACTTGATGTTCGTTATATTTATTGATATATATTGCTGAATTATCTCATACCGAAATGGCTCACCAAAAAGGTGACATTTTTGGCGCCAATAATTTGATTTTTCTGATTCTTTCTATTTAGATATATTTATTTAATATTCATATTCCTTTATATTGCCTCATATTATTTCCCATTTTTAATCATATTATACAAATCTTTAATAATTTTTAATGTTTTGAGCTTCAAAATCTTGTTCTAACTATTTTCATTCATATATCCTAGAAAAAATTAAAAAGTTTTTTAGAAATAAAAATGTTTGTATGTAAAGTATTGAAAATATTCTAGATGAGAAGACATTCTCCAGAAGAGATTGATATTGATTGGCTTTGTGAAGCCATCACAAAATCAAATAATGGAGTTAAGTTAACTGATATTTGCGCGAAAGCTAAAATAAATCATGAAGGCAGAGTTATATATAATCATACTATCTTAAAGTATTCCTAGAAATTTCCAAAATTAACCGAAATATAACTGTACAGAATTACTATTTTCGAGATAAAATTCATATGGAAATACTAATTCATAACGCTTTATGTTATATAAAATTTAATTTATAAAAATTTCAAAATAAATCAAATTTAACACAATGAATATAACTGCAATCGAGGTTTTTGACGATTGATTCTTACGAGAAGTTTTCCAAACTTTGAGTTAATGTCTTGACATTAACTCAAAGTTTGGAAGTCTAATAAGGGGAATTGTGCCTCATAGCCTGCAATTCCCATTAGAAATCGGAGAAACTTTGTCCGCATAACTTATGATGCGGACAAAGTTTCTCCCATTTCTACTTAGAATGAAAGGGCAAGAGGTATATAGGTACAGTATATATCTCTTGCCCTTTCCTTCTTACCTAAAGACTTCCAATCTTATTTTTTTTCCAATTTTTCCCCTAAATTTAAATCTTATATAATATAAATAAAATGCATAATATCAATCACAAAAATTAATGTTTATTATTTTAATTAAAATTGCCGCACAATTTAAGGTTTTCTGTCACTTTTTTGTTAGCCATTTCGGTACGAAACAGTTAAGTATTCGACATATCGACAATAACCAAATATTTATGAAAATATGAATGCAAGATGAAAGGATTGAGTTTCGATCGAGTCTTTTGCTTAAATAAATCAATTCCATGGCGGGAATGACATAGTAAACAAGAATCAAATCAGGGAAACGCATCTCCAGATCAGTTATTTATTCATACGACCTTAAGGGTGCACACGAGAGGATCATGTAAACTTCAGAATTTAGAACCTTATTTTTAGGCATTATCTTGGCTACCTATTTAGGCTCGAAAAGCAAAAAATATCAAAAAATACAACTTGAGTCCATTATGACCCTTTCATGGAGGTAGTTTTTATCCGCTAGTATTTTCCCTTTGAATCTCTTTACAATTCGAAATCAAATTCAAAACTCAGTAGAAGAAAGGAAGAATCGACTTACTACGGTTGTAATACGAATAAATACATATATTTAATTATTTTTATTTACATAATAATTGTTTGAAGCTCATATTCCATCAAATTTTTAAATAAAAACATTAAAATGTTGAAAATGTTCATATATTTTAATAGGGTTTTGGCACTTTATTGAGGAATTACTACATACATAGTCGAACTGAACTTGATATTTTGAAATTTAAATTATTTATCAAAATTAAAATTTAACTTGAAATTTATAATTATTTAGTCATATTTTGCATAATTCTAAGTAGATTTTGTCAAAAATCAAGAAAGAAAAATTTTAACGTGCTTTATTTTTTCTTTTTTATAATAATACATATTATTATATAATTAACATATTCATAATGTTTCACACTTTCAAAAATATAATCCTCCTCCTCGCAAATAAACGTACATACGGGTGGCCTCTTTTTTCAAAAAATTAAAATTTGAAATTTTGGGCTCAAATATTAGAGATTTTTTCAACCTTCAACGATATATGTTGTCTATATCAGACCTCCTTTCTTTTTGATACTTAACATTGTTCCTAAATCTTAGCCGTTAAGGCTGTTCTGAAAATATTTTTTTTTCGAAAAAATTCGAAAAAAATTCTTAAAATTCAAAAATCCCTTAATTCCTGAGGATTTTGGAAAAAAGTTTTTACATGAACATGTGTATATTATATGAAGTATATTGATAAGGTAAAAATCAAATTTTATTGCATATTCATTGAGAAAATAAACTAACGAATCCCTCAAAATTGAGAGGGTAATCCTCCTCCTCTCAAATAAACGTACATACGGGTGCACCCTTAACAAAATTTTGTGGGTCATTATTGATTTTGTAATTTAATCGTTATCATCTTTTTCTAAACGTGCATTTTTTGCTTTCGGAGCTATTGAACATACATTGGCCCTTACCAGCAATTGAAAACTATTTTTCATTATCAACAATTACATTACTCCGAGTTATTCATCAATCAATGAAAATCGATATATAGTCCATACTTCAATTTACAATATTGGCAAGTCCAATTTCACTTGGCATATTTAACTCATATAGAAAAACCAGTTGGAATCGCAAAATTATCTTTAATTCCATACATAAGAAAAAAAAATTATAAAGTTCTTCAATAATAGCAAACTAATAGTTTAAATAGATTTACAAGTATCGCCCATCTACTTTTGATATAATTCACATATTAAATGTAGAAAACTGGTTTAAAATAAATATTTCAAAAGTTCGAAAACGATTTATGAAAAAATAACGTGATGACATTTACTAAATTTGCTCTGTATTAAAGTATCGATGATAGAAAGAGCATATTTTGTAAATATTTCAAAAATATTTAAAAGTCGGAGAAATTGTATTGTAATGTACTATAATTATGTTACAAATCCGATTCAATACTAATCCTTCGCTATTGAAGTTGTTTTGAGAAGGATATTCTCTAAATTCTTGATAAATCTTTAAAATCTAGAGTAATCGTTTTGTAAACTTAACAAAACTAAAATGTATACCAATAGATTGGCATTTTCTACGTTTTCAAAGTGAGAGAGTGTAAATTCTTTTTTTTATCCTATTAAGGTTTTTAAAAAATTTAATTAACTTAATTTATATGATCTGAAATATATGACAAGTTAATATGGAGAATTCTTTCAACCCAATTTCAATTTATTGAATTTTCTATTCGAATTCAAAAATTTTCCCAAGAAGAAAAAATAATTAGGAAATTTAATATGTTAATACATAAAATATTTTATTTATTCAAAGAATTCAATTTTCTATTGGATCAAAAAACTTGTGTTAAAGTTCGTATTTTAAGATAACTATACTTTTAGAAGCTGTTTTTATTTTTTTCACCGGGATTTTATTAATTTAATTCTTTCAAAATTTGAATCTTATTGTATATCACCGGACTATGATCATAATAGAGTTGCAATCTCTAATTATAGCCACATTAGTACTCGTGGGTCGATATATCATGGGAGATACAAAATTATTTGAATTTTCTTTTATTTTTTTAAAAAATATTAAAAAAAGTAAATAAATAACTAACAACACAGCATCACTTTTCGTAAAATGCTTTAATCCTAGTCCTTTTTCCCCTTAATTTTTCAATCTCTCCCAGGTTGAAATTTATTCCGGGAATTTTTAAAGATGCTTGGTCAACATAAAATTTCATTAAATCTTCCACAGGAGTCATAAACTCTGAACATTTGAAGCGAGCATGAACTGCATCATTCAAATTTTTAAGAAGATTTTTGTTCGAAAAGTGATTCAATACGGCGATTACATGAATACAAGGTAATCCGTATAATTCGATGTGCTTACATGTGCATGAATATTGTGAATCTGACATAATTTTTACGCAATATGTATAGCGACCAAAAGTTGCATAATATAATTCTTGAATTGGATCATATAATACCGAGCTAAACATATCTGAATGTTTCAAAGTTTCATTTAGATTTTTGATAATATTATCTGATTTAAAATCACCTGTTAAAACATTTTTAACAAGATTGAATTCATGTTCAATGAGACGGATAATTAGTTCGGCGGGTTCATATGTATCCCATTTATCTTTAATTTCGGCATTAAGGGATTCAATAAGAGATGTTGTGAGTATGCCAGCGGTGTAGTCAGCGAATCCTTCAAATGGGTTAATACTATCTAAGTACTTAAAGAGATCCTGATTATTTTCGCGGTTTGGATATTCCTCTTGTAAACGAGTTTCTAACTTTTTAATCAAGTCAATTCGTTTTTGAGGATGGTCTGCGTAAGCGACTTCAACAATTTCGGAATAGACATTGATGTATTCCCTTTTTGTTGCAAAATGACGTAAGCAAAATTTATGATCGCAAGAAAAGCCTGATTCTCTAACAGCAGCTATAATTGCCGGACCTTGATCGGAATAAATATTCTTGAATCTGCTTGGTGGAATAAAAGATTTCAATTTAGTGAGCATATCCTTAATTGTTATCGTATTTTTGTTATATACGAAAACGATAAAACGGTTTGACAGAAAAGTGACAACTTTACATGTCAAAAATAGAAAAAGTGACATTTTATTCGTAATATTAAAATGAATCATCATAATCTTCTTCATAAGGGTCTTCATAATCTTCTTGATATTCTTCTTCATAATTTACTTCGTATTCTTCTTCTTCATTACTATATCTTCTTCTATTTCAACCGGATTCGCCTTATTTTCTTCTTCTTCAACTTCCTCGCCTTCTTTTTCCCATTCATCTTCTTCGATTCCTTGGAGCTCTGGCATCTCATTGGCCATAAGTGAACCTGGAAGAAAATCTTGAGAGACTCCATCCACAATCCATTTTGCCGGCATTCCCCTCTTCCAAATTGGAAGTTTCTTCCACATTTCAGATGGGCTATAGTGAATTTGTTTTCCATTCACATAATGAGTTGGTAATGCTAGATGAGGTTTAGCATTATAGTACTCAACCCATTGTTGAATCTTTGCCCATGACAACTCTCTGCTCTCTATGTTAGGCCACAAGCGCTCGATTTTCCCATTTTGGTATGGGCAATGGGGGACAATATATACATTATTGATCCCCCGAACCCTCATAGCCTTTAGGAACTCGCCTTTATTCTCGCCGCCATTATCGGACCAAATTGTATGTGGTGGTCCATAACGGGCTATTGCTCTCTTAATTACTTTCACTGTTTGGCTAGCATGTTTTGACGAAAGATGCTGCCATTCTATGATGAGCCTTGTGCAGTCATCAATCACAGCATAAAGAATCTGACTTCTCTTTTTGCCAAGAAAGTGGATATCAACGTGCCATATTTGGTTAGGAAAGGCAGCTAAGTATCTTGTCTTTCCTTTTGGCCGATAGGGTCCCCTTGGACGTGCCAAGCCCAGCTCTCTAAAAGCTCTTTCTACCATATGTCTTGAGGGGGGGATGTGGAAGAGGGTTTGTAAGATATTTAATGTTCCTCAGCTCAGATGGAAATGATAATGGAGACTCTTCAATAGTTAGTATCCCTAAGTAGTGTACTGTGGCACTGCGCGCCTCCGTACACCACTTAACGGTTTTGACACTTTACAAAACCACTAACGTATATTTTACAACACAACCATAACACCAACTTAACCTTAAATATTTACAAAACCATCTGACACATAAACGACTTCACTAATGACTTCACTACCGTCCTCACTAAATAAAAAATAACCCTATTTTTATTTTTTTTAATTTTTTATTTCATTACAAAGACATGTCTGACTACATTTACTATGACTCTTTCCCAGAACGTTTCCGTGAACTATTCAAAACTCAAGTAAAACTGAGAAACATGCATTTTAACAAAGACAGACCCATTGACGATGAAAGAAACCTGAATATATTACAATCCCATATGACGCAAAGTTCATTGCATACATTCCTTATGGTCGCAGAGGAACGAAAACTATTTCAACAAAGAACAAAAATTATTTCTGGAGCGATGAAGAAAATTGCCTTATCTACATAAATGCATGCTTAAATAAAGCTACATATTGTACAAAAGAAGGTTGGACTGGATTTGAGCTCTACATATACGACGACGATGGAAACAGACGTTGTGTATACCCATACGATAATATGTACCATTGTTTTCATCAAGCATTAAACGAATACATAGTCAGTAAGGGTCTCATTCCTGCTGAGTAGAAATGTTATATTTTTGTTCTGTCATTTATATAAAAATAAACTTAAAAATTAATGATATCACCACCCTCACACGTATGAAAACATAGCGCAAAAATATTTTTAGGAGAGAATGCAGCATTTATGAATTATTTTTGAAGAACTGAAGGTGTCACCACGTCACCATGTCACCAGGTTATTTAACTTCTTTTAAAAATGATGACAACATGACATTTTGACAACAGCCTGGGTTGAATGCAAAAATATTTTTAGGAGAGAATGCAGCATTTATGAATTATTTTTGAAGAACTGAAAGTGTCACCACGTCACCATGTCACCAGGTTATTTAACTTCTTTTAAAAATGATGACAACATGACATTTTGACAACAGCCTGGGTTGAATGCAAAAATAAATTTAGGTGAAATCTCACCTCTTTTTTCACCCGGTTTTCTACCCTGTTGAATTCATTGCTTTATAACTCTCTTCCTTTCTCCAACTCTTCTAGCTTCTTCTTAAGTTCAGCAATGTTGTCCTCATGAAGTTTAATCTTTCTCAAAATTCCTTCTTTATCTAATGGTTGCTTTATCTTTCTAAACTGAACTCTACCATCCTTCATATTATGAATGTAAAAACCTTCTGGAATAGTTCCTGATTTAATGTATTCTACCAAAAACTTTTGTTTCATTGCTTCAGTGACTTTAGTCGTCATTTCAATCAAATAAAAATTTTAATATTAAATAAAAATAACGTTATTTTTTCAGTAAGGAAACGCAGGAGTTTTACGATTTATTTGAGGAGTAGGTTCTGGTTTAAATGTTGGAGTCGGTTTAGGAGTTGACTTTTGAACAGGAGTTTGTACTTCCATAGGTTCAGGAGTCATTGAAGGTGTTGTTTGTGAAGGCGTTGGTTTTGGCGAAGGTGTTGGAGTTTGTTTAACTTCAGCTACTTCAGTATTATTTACAACATTTGCTTTATTTCTTTTCAACATCATAACTGCTCCTGCTGTAGCTAGCAAACCTAGTGGGAGACCATATCTTATATAAGGACTTGACCAAATGCTATTTTTGACAGGAGCTGGTGGAACACCTAACCTTGGTGAGACTGCTCTTTGCCATTGTGCAGCTCGTAAGAAATATTCAATAGGTGCTCCATAATCGTTTGGTAAAGTTTGTTTCATAGATGGTGAAGGTTCACGAGAGCTTGATGAAGAACTCATTTATAAGCTTTAAAAATAAACGTTCATCCTTTATTCCTCACTGTCGTCCGTAGCTAAGTTATAGTCATCTAATCTTATTATGGGGATGCCATTAGCACGCACCTGAATGGCAAAGCAACAATCCCTCATAAATCCAATAAGTGGCTTTGGTACATTTTCAGTTGCTAGTTCAATAGGTCCTTTAACAGACAATTTGTATGTTATTGGAGCAGTAGATGTTTGACCTTGCTGGAAGCAAAAGTCCACTTCTGTTGGAAAACCACATAAGAAATGTGTGTTGTCATAGCTATCCCATTTATGTTCCACACTACCATCATCCACCAATGACCTCATAACATCTTCATTAAATCCTATCATATCATTGTTTGTATTGCAAGCGTTCGCAACCATTTCATAAAATACAGGTCCATATGATTTTTCAGGTTCTGCAGGCATATTTCCATAAGCTCCCATGGAAAGCTGAAGATATTTAAACTTAGGGTTCTCAAAATTAACATAATAGTTGTCTTTCTTTCTAAATAGTGCCCAAATACTTTTAACATTAATAGGCGTATAAGCTGCTGTAAATGTTGCACTTGAACTATCTGTATTCTTTGAGAATGAACCGTCCATAGGAATCCAATCCATAACTTTAACAGGAAAACATAAAGCCTCGTTTGTATAATGTTCTACAAGTTCTGTATAAATGTTAGGGTCTAAAGAGAATGACTTTGGATGAATGAAACATTCATTAAAATCCATCTTTGTTCGAAATAGTTGCTGGGTTACAGTTGTAATAGTAACTGTTCCACTAGCTTCTACTGCCTTCGTTATCATAGTGAATGGTTCATTCCATGGAACAAATTTATTTGTCGGTGGATTTGAATCTGAAGCAAATGCAACTTTAAGAGTTGGATTGAAAGCAATGATATCATTTACAGATATAGATGTGCATTGTAAGGCGTCGCTACTGAACTTTACTTTAAGCTGAATGTTTCCTGCAAAAGCTGGAATAAATCGAATAGCTTCTAATGGAAGGAATCTTCTAACAGGAATTCTTAAACGAAGCTTAAAATCAAATGATTTTCCTGCTGTAATTGGACCACTAACAATTTGTCCTGTTCTGCATGTTCCCGAATGACTCCATACATCTTCATGTCGAGTCTTTGAGAAAACATCTACTTTCTTTATTTGTTCGGTAGTTTGTGAGTTTGAAGTTATATATGCTTCTTCTCTTGCGTTGTCTTGAGAATATACGATACGACCATTTGCAAGGATTTGATATCCAGCAACTGCATAGAAAGCGTCATCGAAACCAATCCAAAATCCTGGTGGGTTTGTTTTATTGGAACCTGAACCAATTTCTTTATCTACAATAAATTGACCTTCCATTTTATACGTAATGAATGTATTGTAAAGGTCCAACATATTTTCACCAGGAGGTGAGAGATTGAATGTTACCCATGTGTTATCTTTAGCAGTTCCAGGTTGTGATGGAATCTTTGCGTCAGAATATTTTCTATTAGTGTCACCAATTTGAACTGCATTGTCTATGATATCGAAATATGAGCGAATCTGATGAATATGCTCTGCTGGAGTAAATTCGTTTAGCTGTTCGTTCTGCATGTATTTACTTCAGATAAAAATATCTATTTACTTCATTATTCTCACTCTTCTTCTTGGCATTCGTGGTGGAAGTTGTTTCTTGACATTTTCAATGAACTGTACATTCTCTTTTGTCTCAACTTCTTTCACTGGCGGGTCAGGATTCTTTGACTCGGTTTGTTTTTCAATGAAATTCACGAACTTTGCAATAAGCTCTTGGTTCGTTATTGAAAGTACATCTGGCTTCTTTTCTTCTGGTTCTATTGACTTTTCAGTTTGAAGAAGGTTTTATATGGGCTTCGTGGACTTCACCCTTGCCATGCACCTTAATGTTGTCGCTTTCTGCATTCGCTAATGGAACCTTTCTTTTTCTTACGTATATTTTACCATCTTTACTCTGACTTACGTAATAGAAAGGATGTTGTATTCCTCTTGCGTCATTTAATATAATAGACTCTCGCTCTGATTTTGACAAGCTCATTTTACATCGGTTAAAGTTTTAATTTTGTTTTTTATCTGCAGTCAAATGACTCAGACAAGCCCTACGGACAAGACCCAAGGGGTCATAGATGTTGAAGCATTGAAGAAAGAAATTCGTGAGCAAATTTTATCCGAACTGAGGAACAAAAACAAGAACAAAAGCCAGAGAGACCAAAGAGAAAACTTAGTGAAAAACAACTTGCTGCATTAGCAGCTGGAAACAAAAGAACCCACGTTTGCTGGCGAAGAAAGCTAGAGAAGAAGCTGAAGAAAAGCTAAAGAAGCTGAAGCAAAGAAAGAGTAAATTTATTTTTATCCGAATTAAATGTATAGACAAATACCTTTATCTGTTGCGTTCAGTAGTGAAACCCTGACGTCAAAATAAGGGGAACAGAGTAACGTTTAAGTTTCCAACAGACTGGATTGTGAACATAAATGAAGAGAAGTACATTGGCATAACATCTATGTATATAACACGTGCTTTCAGAAAGGTTGACTTTATACTTCAAGTCGAGATAGAAAATGACGAACAGTCTTTAAGCGCCCAAAACATTCACATATACAAATACTTTAAAAACAGTACGACGTTAGAAGACTGTATAATTACATTTACGAAAATTTTCAAAAGAAGTTTAACATTGAAGTACAAACTTTACACCTTTACGTGAGTTTCTTGCACAACTGAAAGAAGAAGGAATTGTAGAAAGATTAATAGCTTTTCATTACGAGTTTGTACCAAATGAAGATGGAACTCATGACTGTCAATTCATTGTATTCTCACCATTCAATGAAGTCGCTAAAGAGAAAAAAAATCCATTACGTATAAGATTTCAAATCTCTGAACCAAGTGATGATTTCAAGAATGTTTTCAATTATGATGCAATGCTTCCGAGAAAAATGAATTTTCCGAAATTAGATTTCCAGGTATTGGGATAGAAAGCAAGCTATATTATATTCAAACTTAAGTAAGGGAGTTGAAAATGAGTTCATTGGTCATACAAGAACTTCACCACTTCCTAACCCTAAATACTATAAATTAACTGGCTTCAATCGTGAGTTTTGGATAGACATGTTCTCCACTCATGACCATAAAGCACCAGTGTTCTTACCTCCAGACCATAAGGACTGTCTCTACATTGAAGCACAACTCTTAAACTCTACCATCGCAGTATTGTAAAATCTACGCTAGTTTTATTTTTATCACGAATGACCTCATTGCTGACAAAAATAAATGACCTCATTGCTGACAAAAATAAATGACCTCATTGCTGACAAAAATAAATGACCTCATTGCTGACAAAAATAAATGACCTCATTCATGACCTCATTCATGACCTCATTGCTGACAAAAATAAATGACCTCATTCATGACCTCATTGCTGACATAAATAAATGACCTCATTCATGACCTCAGAACTTCAACTTACGAATAAAGCTTGTTTTAGTCGTTATTGAGAAGTTAAACTTTTCAGCAAAGCAAGGACTAGAAGACTTACATAAGTCAAATCCAATCTCTTGACCATCATGAAGTGCTTTGTAAAGTTTCATTAAACTGAACTCAGAGTCTTTGTCATATGTTCCAACAGGTATGTGAATGTTCTTATCTTCATTGTAATAGCATTGTATAGCTTCAGGAAACATTTCATTAGCTGTTAAAGCAAGGACGTCTTGTTTTACACCTTTACAACGTGCATGGAATGCAACTTCATTTAAATCATTCGTGAGTAAGTCTATGTAGGTCTTCTTTCCACAAAATATTGACTTGTATGCTAAACTTTGTTTTCCAGGTGTTATTTCTGCGAAGTCAGAATGAAATTGACCAGGGTTCTTTCCTATAAGTTCGCGACCGTATCTCTTCTTAAACTCTGCTGCAAGCTTTGGTATGTCTTCATTGAAAATATGCATGCTATCACAGCCTGGTAAAATATTTGAAGTCCCATATCTTCAGCAGTACAGAATACTTCACACATTATTCTCTTCGACATAGATAAGATATTAACACCAAGTGGACAGAAGTTAAAGTGTCTGCAAATGCTTTTCGTTAGCTTGAAAATAGTTTTATCTGAACCATCCAAACCTTCGAACTTCACTATATGGTTGTAGTTTCTGATGGCATATCTTATAGCATCTTTGTCATTTACTATGGTTATTTTTGACTCAATAGGAGAAAGAATAGTTTTGCCATAAATACTGTTCAGAATGAGCTTTATATTTTCTTGCAAAGGATTTCCTTCTTTCTTATACTTTAACCTTAACTCAAACAACTTCTTTACTTCATCTCTTATTCTAATATCTCTGTTTCCATCGTAATAGTATCCTTGCAACACTTCACATTTGACACCTTGATATTTTATGAGGTCTTGTAATGTTATATGGTCAACATACATTAAACAGCAAGTGTTTGAACTTCTGGGAACGTTAAGTTCTGGATTTAGTTCAGGGTCACAAACTATTAAAGGAAAGTGTCTATGTATTCCAATCTCTGTTATCTTAATGAGAACAAAGAAGCCAGACATAAACTTTTCACCAATGGGTTCCTTTTGGTCGTCGTCGAATAAATGTCTCATGAGATACTCTGTGCTTAACATTTCTTTCTTCATAACCTTTGGAATACCTTCTAAAGTATAAAGTCTTGCTATAGCGGATGGATATAATGAAACAGCGTCGAAATCAGCAATGAGTTTCTTTTCGCTCTTTTGTTTAATGTTATCTGACAGCATACATCTTCCACCTTGAATACAGCGTGAAATAAATTCTTGGTTTATTTGAGAGGTCATATAAATTTCCATTCGGGAAGTACACTCTGTTCTCAAACAATTTGTTAGCAATAGAACAAATACTAACGTAGTCATATACGTTTAAATCAAACTCTTTCAATATGTCATTGCGGAACTTAACAAAACCTTCTCTTAAAATTCTTACATCTTGTTTGCAATAGAATGTGCTATATTTTTCTAAGTCGAAGTGGTTCTCATCTATTCTGCAACCTTTGATGGAATCTATGTTTTTCATGAATGTATCTGCATCCCGGATAAACTTACATGCTTCAGAAATGACACCAGTTCTGTTGTCATTTGCTAACAAAACACTGCTGTAGTAGTTGTATGGAAATACTTCTTTCGGTCCTGTTTGTAAGTTAAACATAGCAGGAAATAGTTTAAGCTTCTTATTTATAACACTGTAAGAGTCTTTTATAATAATTGCCCTTCCTTTATATAAGCCAGTTATTTGCATTGTTCGTGAACCTTTAATGATGGGAGTTCCTTTCACTTCTGTCATGTGTCTTAATATGAAGTTTATATCATAACTGAGGTTATGGAAATATATTAAACTCTTGTCAGGAAGTCGCTCCAAAAATTCTGTTGCACAGTTCTGACCCCAAATGCTTTCACTCACTGAACCATCTTCACTGTCGTAACATATGTTAAAAGCTTTATGAAAGCCATCGGTACTGCACTCAAAGTCAGCAAAGAAAATGTGCTCAGGAATGAACTTGCACTTATTTTTATTTACTTCTTTTGACTCGGCTTTCTTCTTCAGTTGTACACAATACTTTGAAGCATATGTCAAATCTTTAAATGGTGCAAGGTTCTGTTTATATAAGTCAGTCGTATATGTGAAAAGTTCTCCATAAGAAATAGGTTCAAAATATTTGCACCCACACAATGTTTTCATAACATCCCATAACGGTGTTGTTCTATCATAACGAACTACATATTTGTTCTCTCTCTTTGTATAAATCTTCATCTGTTTCTCAATGTTCATTCCACCACACTCCTTCAAGATTTCTATATAGTTGCGAATGAAATATGTTGTCATAGGTAATCTTTCATTTAGCATGTAATGGTCTTCAACAAGAAGTAAGTCAATAGTTCGAATAGTTTTACATTCTTTTGGTATGTATCTCTTTATTTCATTATGTCATGAGTCATTGGAGTAACCAATGGTAACATTAAATGCTATACCTGTTGCGTCAGAAATTTCTTGTACTTTACTTTGAGGAAAGTCTCTAACACGAATGACTTCTCTCATGTGGTCAATAGTTTCTTCATTTACTCCAGCCTGAATGCAAGCATAAACGAAGCAGTTATCTTCTGTCATAAGTGTTGCAGTTCTTTTGTTCAGTTCATTGAAGATTTGGTAGCGTTCAAGATTTATAGGTAATGTGCAAAGATACTTCCAGAACTGACCGCTTCTCTTCTTATAAAACTTCTTTTCACCATTATCTTTCCAAAAGCTTTCTATAAGTGCTGGGTTTCCTGTTTGCTTAAGAGCTTCCAAAATGGCTTTCTGGTCATTTGTTAATGTGCTTTCATCTCTATATGGTCTCTTTTTTGGTTTGCCTTTCTTTACATCTGACATCGTTAAGCCTTCATATTCTGTTAAATCATACATCTTTATTTCAGTAAGATTCTTTATGCTTGTCAAGAAGAAGTCATAGTGCATTTCAACAATACCTGCAGCATTTGCTTCTATCTCTGATATAAAGTTCTCCTTCAAGAGCTGATGTAGTAATGTTCCAATATTATTGAGGTTTAACGTAGAACATTCATACTTTCCACCAAGTTTATAACATACCATCCATCTCTGTTGGGAGTTTATTTTAATCTTCTCTAAGAGTCTCATGAAAACCTTACCGAAATGTTTGTGTAAGTAGTCTCTGTTTGGTTCATCTAAAGCTTCGATGTTAAAGTCAATGAGTCTATTGCCTGTCTTAACATTCCTCTTCCTATTCTCTTCATCTTTCTTTAACCATCTCTCACCTTCTTTTGGTTTGTCGTCAATGGAACGAAGGACATCGTTAGCTTTGCGAACTTGTTCTATAGCGCTCTTAAACATCTCTCTTCTCTGTTGTTTCAGTGTGTCGTCTCTTCTTCTTGTTTCACCAACGTTTGCATTTGTTATGTCAAACATTTCTCTTCTTACTTCATGAGGTACTGAACGTCTATGATATAAGTCAATAGCAACGTCATTTAAAGGAAATGCTCTTGCATGGACTTCGTCCTCGCCGCGTTGCGGCTTTATGAACTCATGAATTCTATCATAACTTATTGCACCATTATAGTCATTGAGGATGTCAGCGAGTGCTTTTTTGTTTGTCGCGTAATGTTTTGCAACATCTATGTTAGCTTCTGTAAGAAGTTGTTTTATTTCCGAGTGTTCTAACTTAGACAACTTCCGATACATCTTTAGTAGGAAATAAAAAATATTTTTTGAAAAAATTAGATTAGATTTTTTTAAGTTATTTTTCAAAATAATTTAATATTTTTATTTTAATGAAACACATGCAAGATTGCAAGTTCTTTTCATACAATGCTCTCGCTACTGCCATCAAGAATGAGTTCAATAATGCTTCAAATGTTAATGTTATCTTTAACAAGAAGTTTGTGAAAGAATCTAAGTTTGGTCAGTATGTCAGACCATTAGCTATCGTCATTGACCGCAAACGTTATACTTCACAAGAGTTAGCAGTAGTTTTGAAACAAAAGAGTTTCTTCGTGAATGTCAAAGATACTCATTATACTGTCATAAAGAACTCTAACGTTGACTTCTTCAGTAATGCTTTAAATCTTTCCGAACAGAAAGAATATAAGAAAGGTGAAACATCTGTGAAATATTATCCTTCATCTCTGAAGACAATAACGAACAAAGATGTTATACAGAAATTCTTACCAAAGGTTGAAGAAGCTTCTATTGACATTGACGAAGGAAGTGAAATGATTGAAGAAATAGACCCTGAAGCTTTATAAGAAAATTTATTTTTGGTTAGTCTTCATATGGATATTTTACAACAATTAAATGGTAAAAACAAAATAAACTTGACGATCAGACGATTCTCTCTTCGTCAATTATGTTCGACATGGAGCGTTTATGGAAACAATTAAATGGTAAAAACAAAATAAACTTGACGATCAGACGATTCTCTCTTCGTCAATTATGTTCGACATGGAGCGTTTATGGAAACAATTAAATGGTAAAAACAAAATAAACTTGACGATCAGACGATTCTCTCTTCGTCAATTATGTTCGACATGGAGCGTTTATGGAAACAATTAAATGGTAAAAACAAAATAAACTTGACGATCAGACGATTCTCTCTTCGTCAATTATGTTCGACATGGAGCGTTTATGGAAACAATTAAATGGTAAAAACAAAATAAACTTGACGATCAGACGATTCTCTCTTCGTCAATTATGTTCGACATGGAGCGTTTATGGAAACAATTAAATGGTAAAAACAAAATAAACTTGACGAAGGGTTTTGTTTTTACCATGGTTTTCTTCACTATGGTCCTAACGTGGCACCTGACGAGATTTTTTTTCATTCTTCCTCTTTGAAGTTGTCGAAATATTCTGTTATTTTTTCCTTCAGTAATGTTAAGTCTTCTTTGAATGTAAGTATTGTGCAACCTTTGATGTCATAGTGTGTTTGAGGAAGAGTATTTTTGACAATTTCCTTTATTTGCTCATTCGGTGTCATTGAAATCGGTAAGTTTTCACGATAGAACCAGTTTCTGTCAGATTTATATATTTTAGCGAGGTCATAAAAGCTCTTGTTGTTTCTTCTGACTAAATGTAACATAACCATATCTTTATCTTCTTCTTTCTCCAACTCTTCAGTGTAAATCATATACTTATAGCTCTTCTCCTTTCCTTTTGGTACCGAACGTGGTATTCTTTTCTGTATGCTTTTGTCTTCTTTCATCATATCTTCTCTCTGCTTTGTACAAAGTTCGTCAAGTAGCATAAGTATGTAGATTGCATAACGGGGCCAAGCCCACATTGCTATTGAACTAACTAGGAACTTATGAACATATATACCTTTTAGATGTGATGGTAAGTTTTGTCTGTCTTGGTACATCTTTTTAAGTTCTACATGTTCAAACTCACTGAGTAGTTCATGAGTGCTATTTAATTCAAACCATTCATTTGGTGTTTTATTCTCTGGAGCAAAACATGCTGTCAAAATACTCTGCATTTGGTACATGTCATCTTTGACTGAACGAATGAGACGTAACTGTTTGTTATACTGTATGTATTCATATTCTTCATTGATGGCTTCATGAACGATAGCAGTTGTTGTGTTCTCTGATGTTGTCATTACTGTCTTAACATACGAGATAAAAAAATAAATAAAAATTAGCGTTATTGTCCGACTTTCACAAAAGACAAAAATAAACGCTTTACATGTATTTTTCAGCAACTTCGTCAAATAATTTTATAGCTTTATCTATCTCATCTACTTCAAACGTTTCTTTACCTTTCATGGGAGCACCATACATTTTCTCAAACTTTTCGAGTAGTTCTGTTTCTGCAGCTCTCATATCATTAACGAACACAACCTTGACTCTATTGACTGTACTGTCATATCTTTGAGTTATATTATATGTTCTTCCTATCTTATATCTCTTTGTATTGAAGTCCTTCGGTTTCTGAACGATGTAAAGTAAGCCTTCACTGCAACGTTCCGTATCGAATGAACCATAAGTTATGAAGTTATATCCAACAACAGGGTCAATCCACAGAAGAATTATTGGTATAAGACTTTTGTCGATGAGATATGCTGTGGTTCCATAGAATCTTACCGATATCATAAGCTCAGGATTTCTTGTCAAAATTTTCTGAGTAGAAGCAATTCTAACCCAGTCCTTTGTTTTCTTTCCAGATGGTGTTATAATGTCTGACAAAGAATATTTGTTGTATTTCTTACAGTATCTTACGTTTAAATCACCAATTCTAACCACTTTGGTGTCATTGTCAATCTTTCTAACTGTTTCAAACTCAATGTTTGACATCACTGTCTTTACATATGAGATAAAAAAATAAATAAAAATAAAACTAACTTTATTTTTATCTTTTATGAAAATTCATGAAATTTGGTCATTTTTCAGCAACAAAATGAAAAAGTTTAGAAGAATTTTCTTATTCTTTCTGGCTTATTTTTGTCTTTCCAGTACTCCCGCTCTAATGGTCCCAGATGTGTTGGCTTTGACTCTCTCAAGTTCTTAGATGGTATAACATCTTCAACGCCTCCTTCATATCTTACTTTATAAGTGTCATCGTTTATGTTATAGCCAAGTATTTCAATAACCACTCCTCGCTTTGCTTCGTCAATGGTTTCAGCAAGTTTGCCATTACTACTTTCAACTAATTTATGACGAGGATAAAACGCAATGGAGTCGTCAGCAGCTTTTATAAGATATCCATTACCTTGCGTAGAGTCTACGATATAATAGTTTCTACTTAACCTTAAACGTTTCTTTGTCAACGGTTTGTCCTCAAGAACTACACGAACTTTTGTACCAGGAATGAGGGTAAATTGTGTTGAATTTCTGATATTTTGTGTTTGACTTCGTTTCTTTTGTATATACTTTTCTTCTTGTTGTTGTGTCATTGAATTTGGTGTATGTCCTGTTGTAGAATGTGTTGAGGAATTATATACTTCGAGAAAGTGTTTCATTGTTTCTTCGGTAAAGTCTCGCTCTTGGTTTAAATCTCTGAGCGTTCTTATGAAGCGGTTTATGATGCCGAGTATGTTATGGTTATGGTCTTCAGTAGTGTAGTGAGTTATGTTATGCTTAATGAGAAATTCTGTGATTTCATTGCTGAGGTATGCACCGTCTTGGTCTGAAGTTAATGAAGTAGGATGATGTTCTGCCACGAACGTCTGCAAAACTCTTAAAACTTCATGAGTTCCTTTATTTTTCATTGGATATGCATATGCTTTGCGAGTGTTAACATTAATGAAGATGAGGAATGGTTTATGTCCTCCTTTTCTGCTTTGAATGAGAGTGTCAAATTGGTATGCGTCAGGAGCGTTGGAGTAAATTGGTAAAAAGTAGTCGTAAGGGTTTATTTTTGTTTGATGTACAACATTTTTGTCAAAGAACCTTTTCACTTCAGCTCTGTTAGTAAATCCCCAACTCTTTGCAGCTTCATTGAACTTCTTAAATGACCTCCATGGATGTTGTTCGAATACTTCTTTCAAGCTCATTTATGTAAAGTTAAAGATTTTATTCTAGGCTCAAGCGCGTTCAATGAACGCGGTACCATGCGAATACAGTCACAAATGGTGGCATATAATCTGCACCCGAGCCTGTTGGATTTGTTGTGAAAGTATGGACATGATTTCCTCCTGGTTCAGTTGGTCGAAAAATCTTTTTTGCTGAATTGTTATAAGATGGAGATAAAACGTCATTGCCAGCTTCATACTCTGAGTTGTATAATGGGTGGTCTCTTAATGAGTGGCTATGGTCGCTAGAAAAGTTTGTCGTTCTTGTATGAGTGTGTGTGGGTAAGTTTGCTTCTTTAATTTTCTTCGAACCTCCTGTTTGCTTTGAATATCTAGCACAGTATAAGAATTTATCTACAATCTGCTTCCACGTACCAAAACCTAAAACTGTTGCTGGATTTGTTGAATTCATTGACGTATAAATAGAACCAACAGGATATATGGTTTGAAGTATTTCAGTCTTTAATGTTTGAAGCTCTGTTTTGTCAGCTTTCTTATCTAACATTGCTGGTAGTTCATATGCTTCAAAGTTTCTGGCATGACCTTCAATGTTCATACATCTGTTATCTAAATTGTTTAGTGTATCTTTTACGCTTGTACTCGGATTCTCTAAAGGTGCACTTGAACCCAAATCATAGTTCAATATTATGTCGTCTGCTCTAACAGTAGTGAAGGATTTATGTGTATGGTTCTTGTCAGCTTTACTATTTAATGTAGCTTGAAGTTCATTTATATCGGAGATATTGTGTTTATGAGATTTCAAAACTTTGTTCGTTGCGTCAAGTTCATCTTTGTCAGCTTTACTTTTAATAGCATCTTCAAAAGTTATTTTTGCCTTAACTCTCAAAGTAAATCTTGGTTCAACTAATACACCGTTAACAAAGAAACTAGAGGCATAAATTTCATCGTTATAACCAAATGCTTCTGGTGCTTTACCTGTGTCATACTGTACAGTACAACGTATGTCATAACCTTTAGCACGAATGAATTTATATCTTCTTTCATTAACATCTTCAGTGCTTATTTGTTCATCCTGTGTTAAATATCCATGGTAGTCCGTTATAATCTGTTCGTCTGAACTTATATAATGAACATGGTTTTTATCTGCTTTTTCGGCTAATTTCTCTTCTATCTCATTTATTTCAAGTTCATGCCTACCACCACCTCCTTCAGAAGTATTTTTCTTCAGCTCTTGAAGAACGTCCACTTCGCCATCTTTGGTGTCAATAATGAGACTTTGAGTTAAAACCTTTCCTGTCTTAATGGATGTTTGTAAAACTTCTTCTTCACCGTGTTCGGGGTCATGGTCGTCATCATATCTTGTAAAATCAGAGATGTTGTCATACATTAAGCACATCTGTCTCAAAAGTTCTGCTATTTGAAACTGGAACGAAAGATATACAGAACTTTCATCATCTCCTAAAGTCAAGTCTGCTTTCTTAAGTATTTCTTGAATGTATGCAATGAGAACAGAGTACCTTGGAAAATATTCGAACAATATTTCATTAGCTGTTGGTTTTGGTGGTTCTTCTGGAGTTTCTGTTGTTTCAGTTCCTTCTGTAGGTTCTGCTGGAGTTTCTGCATCTCTTGACTTCAATGCTCTTGCTCTCAAAGACCTAAATGTTAGAGCACCAGGTTTTACAAAGGACTTTATAAATGCTTTAATAGTTCCTGGTAAGTTATTGTTAGCATTAAGTAAGTTCCTTATGCTTCCATCATGTACGTCCATAGCACTATGTAAAAAATCTATACTTTTCTTGTAGTCAGCAATAGACTGACTGTGATTTTTTAAAGATTTGTCAATACCTTTAAGCCAATCTTCATGCATGTCTGATACTGAGCCAAGAATATCATTTGCTTCCTTTAGTGTATTTTGTGCTTCTCGTAAAGTATCCAATCCCGTACGTGCATTGTTTGCTATACGTCTTACAGTATCTATTTGACTCCTTGTTTCTTGCATCCAACCAGATAAAGTTTTAATAGTATCAGAACCATTTGAAATGAAGTTCAAAGCATTTTTAACGTCATCTAAAACTTCTTCACCAAGTACTGCCCATATCTTTCCGATTTGGTATTGAAGAACTCCATATGAAGCAGCTGTTAAACCAGTATTTATAAGGTTCCATATCCATGATTTAGCAGTTTTTCCATCCTTTCCATCTTCACCATCCAAACCGTTTTCGCCTTGAGATCCTTGTATTCCTTGTATTCCTTATGGTCCTTGTATTCCTTGTGGTCCTTGAGGTCCGGTGTCACCCTTCTCTCCTTTCAGTTCATCTTTATGTTCGTTATAATATTCTAATGTCATAAGGTGTACATCATTACTGCTACCAGCAACGCCGAGAATTTGTTTCTCATTCATGACTAAATTCTTTAGGCATTTAATGTTGTCGTCAAATCGAAAGCTCTTTAACAATTCAATGAGAACATTTAATACTTTCACCAATGAGGCATCTACTGTAGAATTTATATGTTGCACCGTTCCATCATTTATGATGGGAACCTTGCTTGTTGTAATGAATGGGTCATAAGTGTTAAAAGTATCGAAATCAATGACTTTTTTAGTTTTTCCATCGTCAATGACTAAATCATTGCCTTCAATGGTTAAAGTTGAGTTTTCGTTTACTAGTTCATGTGCTCTTCTTGCTTCATTTGTTTCATACGCATATGCAGCAATAGTCATATTTTAATGAGAATAAAATGTTGTTCTATTTACAAAGTACAGACCCGAATGAATACGGAATAGTAAAACTACAAACAAACTTAGGTCTTCAGAATGAAGCGCTTGCTTTCAGAGTTGTTGACTTCAATACTATCGCAACTTTTGTCATAACAGATGAAACAGATTTCATAGAGATTGAAATAGATGACAAAAGAAGTGTTATAACATTTCCTAACAGAGCTGGGTATAGAATAGATAAAATTGCTGGAGTCATAAATACTCTCATAAATGAAGAAACTATTGACAACATAGATGTCGAACTCTCTTCTGAGGGAACATTGAAGTTCAGCAGCGAGAAAGAGTTTAAGATACCAAGAATGAGTCATAGAGTTCAATTGCTTCTGGGAGCATACCATATGACATTTCCTTTGAAAAGTGTTGACAAAACGATTGAGATGAAATCTGTTCCATACGTATGTTATGGTAATTGTTTATACATTGAGTCTAAAATAGCTAATGTCACAGGCATTTCAGGAGTTAATAGTAAAGGTTCAGTAGAATATAAATCCTTCTGTTATGCAGTCAATTCAATGTTCATTCCAAACGTTCCTGTCATAGCAACTCATTTAGGTAAATGGGTTCGCATTAGTCCTCATAATTTGAAAGACATGCAATTCAGACTTGTTGACTTTCAAGGAGAGCCTGTAGAACTGAAGGCACCAGTGCGAATGACTGTTGAAGTTGACTTTTTAGAAAATATTAAATGCAACAGCTTACAAGAGAACTCAGAGCTAAAAATATAAAGTATGAATGTTATGTATTAGGTCATGAACTTTGGTTGTTGCTGTTTGATGAAACAAATGAGTTAGTTATGTCAGTCAAGAGAACAGAAAAATATTGTGTTAGTGAAAACTGCACCAAGTCAATAAGATTAGGTTTGCATTATGAAGATGAGTTCGATACTGTTGAAGAAGTTTTGGATAGATATTACAAATTGCTAACTTGAAATTTTTGACTGACGGCGCAAAGCGCCAAGACCGAAAGTCCTGACTGCTTTAATTTACTAAAACATATTTCAAGCAAAGTTTATATTATGTTGAAAGTTTTGTATATTCATTCGAATATTTATACTTAAACTCAACTCCTGTAGTTCCTGGTGTTTCAATGATGCGGATGTTACCTATTTTCATGAATATTGGCGTTTGACCACAGCATTCGATTTCAGGGTCGAGATAGTCAATGACACATTGTTTCCCTGTTATTCGTGAGATAACATTTTCAAGGTCCTCCTTTGTTAGAATTATTTGGTTCTTACTTATAAGATTTGTCAAAAGCTTCTTATCGTCTTTGAGTAAAATTGTTTGGTATAACTGAAGAAGGTAATGGTCTACGTTATCTGAAGGATTTGTTTGAACATTTGTGTAAGGGTTGTCGTTGGCTTCTCTTGAAAGAATTTGGTCCAGTGGTGGATACTCTAACTTAACATCTGATGTAGCGTTAGCGTTTGAAGCTGTGTTTAAATTCACCGACTTAAGTTCTGGTTCTTTTTCTTTCAAACACTCTGAACTATAGTTCTTTATGACAATATTGTTTGTCGTTCGTGAGTCAACATTTGATGTCGGTTCAATTGGAACATTAACGGCACCAGCTAAGATGGATTTGCTTCTCATTTCATATAGAATAAAAACCTTTTATATGTATGAAATGAACAATATACTCGACAAGGGTTTGAATGTAAAGCTAACGAATGAAAATATTTTTGAATTCACTGAGACAGGTGCTGTGTATAAAGATGTAGAACTACTGAACAAAAGAGCTAAGGGAAGAAGCAGGAACATGAACAAAGGGTGGAAGCCTATAAAAATTTATGTCAATGATGGCTCAGGAGGTTCAAACATAAAGTATGCAGAAAGTTATAGAGTTTATGCTCTCAAAGGTGAAAAGCCTTCATTTAAGAACAGCTATTCTAACGCATATCCTCAAAAGCTAACGGATGGGGAAGTGGATGATATGAATGACAGCAAAAATATTAACAGAAATGGCGACAGAGATGCATGGAATTTGTTTACCATCAGTCAATTGAAGGTTAAGCTTTAAAACAATGTTGGTCGTTCCCATGGAATATTTTTGACTTTAATGGTATTAGTCATGATATGAATCTCAAGGTATGAACGAGGAGAGATGAGAGACTTATATGCTTCCCAAATTTCTTCAAAAGGTAATGTTATACCTGACTGTTTCCAAATGAGTTCAATATCATAGCGTGAGAAACCTTGAAAGATAACGAAGTCAGTTATGAGACGTTTTATGTTTAAAGCTAAAAACATCCATGTTTGCATAAGTATTGCTACAGTTAAATGGTAATGTCTGACTTTAGTTATGATGTTAGCTAATGGTGAGTCTGGTTTTGACACTAAACCTTTTCCGGCGAAGTCGTCACAAACGAGCAGAGTGTTTGAAGGATACTTTTTGAAGGGGTATTTTGAAAGTTTTGATAGAATGTAGTTTGTAAGTCGTTTCATATCGTAAACTCCTGAGTATTGACGTAAATGGTGTTTGTCAATAATTCTTTCCATCTCCTCAGAAGTCTTTTGCATTCCTGACTGTATAAATTCAACGATGGCATAATATTTCCTCTTACGTCGAATGTAACGTTGAAGAAATTCAATGAGTTCGCTATCTGGAACTTTAACGACAGATGCTTGAACTTTACTCATGAATGTTTTCGCTGTTGAATCCATAGAGTCTGAAGTTGCTGATATAATGATTTGGTCATAGTAAGAGTCGTTTCCTAAACGTTCTGTTATGAGTATATGACGAATGAGGTTAAATGTCTTACCTGAACCCATCTTTCCACAATAGAAATAAACACCATTTGAACAGAACTCATAGTCCTTACTGAAAGGAAGAATGAGAGAACTGTTGAGCTTTTCACTGCTTTCATTCATGTCTTCATCTACGTCATGTATTAAATGCTTCATTTTATCTCCATTAAAAATGCAAGTCAGAAATATTCAGAACATAGCACCGAGTCTAACTGACAAGAGTATAAAGATATACTATGAACACGTTATGATGAAACCAACCAAAATTCAAGAAAGTCAGTATACTTATGAATATCCAAGACACTGGGTAGAGTATGTAGGAGGTGAGAAAGCTATTGAAATCAGACAGGTTCGAAGTATTCCAGCAGGAAGAACAATATTATTGAAGAACTTTAATGTTTTGAGATATAATGATGAAACAAAGAAGCAAGATAGTTTCCCTGTTGCTGTGTATGTGAACTTAGATACAGGAGATGACATGAAAGTTTTTAATACAAAGCTTCAAACGGTAGTGAGAGAACAACTGACTGCGGAAGGGCATCCATTACCTTCAGAAGTTACCATAGCATATAATTTTGAAACAAACTCAATAGATTTTAAAGTCATCTCTGCAAAGAAGTCGGGTTTTACATTTAATGAAGCAGATGTATATTCGAATGAAAACTTCAAAGCTATTGCATGGTTAGATAATGACGATTGCTTTAAGAAAATATTTAAATACAGTGACTCAACGATGTCAATAGATGACCTTCGTGGAATGTTACCATCGACGTTTACAGTAGAAGGTTCAGCAGGATTGCTTACAAGATTGTCAATTGGTGGCGTTTGGTCTCGTGAGAACATTGTTATAAAATCCAGTATAAGTGAATTTGCTGAAGAATCTATATTATGTCTTTCAAACTACATGTATTCGCCGCCGAAGCATTATAGTATAACAAACTTTGTCAGTAAGTTTAACATAAGACTTGTCGAACCTTCTTCAATGAAAGATGTTGTGCTACCTAAAGATGGAAAGGATGGACTCATTATTGAGATGATTTTAATAGCATATTAAATGAGTTTGTTTTTGAAGGTCATTCATGATGAAATAACTGTTGTAGAAGATGTTAGCAATTGTTCAGACATTTTTAAGCGTATAGATGATATAAGAAATAAGTTAGATAGACCGCAAAGCGGTGAGAACGTTTATGTTTCATTGACTTTCTCCAGTAACGAGAACTTTTATGAGATAATATTGAAGAGAGATGATTTTAATATGGTGTAAATGGTAGCTTGGGCAGCTTTAGGCGCAATGGGAACAAAAGCATTAGCATTTGGAGCAAAAGCACTTGGAGCTTATGACGCAGTAAATAAAATGAGTGGAGGAAGGGTTTCAAAGACATTAGATGCAAATAAAGGAAAGATTGGAGGCTGGGTTGCAAAGAAGTTAAGATTAAATAAAATAGGGCTCATAAATAAAGCATCCAATTTGGTTGCGACTGAGTCAGAAAATGCTTTAGGAAAGGACGATGAGTTTGCAAAACACGCAAAAGACTTTAATGACCAGATGAAAGGTGAAACAATGCATTTAAATAGAGTCGATGGAACTAAAGAAAATGTTTCTTCTCCACAACTTCCACCAGCGGTTTATCCATACGGACCTTATGGAATGTATGGAAACCCTTATGAACGACCATTTGACCCATTGACTGGTGGAAGTAATTGGTATCATTACGGATGAAGAAGAAAGACAGTCAAGTTGGAGACAGATGTTAAGAAAGCAACTAAAAAGAAACCAAGGAAGAGAGTTATAAAGCAATGAATTCAACAGGGTAGAAAACCGGGTGAAAAAAGAGGTGAGATTTCACCTAAATTTATTTTTGCATTCAACCCAGGCTGTTGTCAAAATGTCATGTTGTCATCATTTTTAAAAGAAGTTAAATAACCTGGTGACATGGTGACGTGGTGACACCTTCAGTTCTTCAAAAATAATTCATAAATGCTGCATTCTCTCCTAAAAATATTTTTGCGCTATGTTTTCATACGTGTGAGGGTGGTGATATCATTAATTTTTAAGTTTATTTTTATATAAATGACAGAACAAAAATATAACATTTCTACTCAGCAGGAATGAGACCCTTACTGACTATGTATTCGTTTAATGCTTGATGAAAACAATGGTACATATTATCGTATGGGTATACACAACGTCTGTTTCCATCGTCGTCGTATATGTAGAGCTCAAATCCAGTCCAACCTTCTTTTGTACAATATGTAGCTTTATTTAAGCATGCATTTATGTAGATAAGGCAATTTTCTTCATCGCTCCAGAAATAATTTTTGTTCTTTGTTGAAATAGTTTTCGTTCCTCTGCGACCATAAGGAATGTATGCAATGAACTTTGCGTCATATGGGATTGTAATATATTCAGGTTTCTTTCATCGTCAATGGGTCTGTCTTTGTTAAAATGCATGTTTCTCAGTTTTACTTGAGTTTTGAATAGTTCACGGAAACGTTCTGGGAAAGAGTCATAGTAAATGTAGTCAGACATGTCTTTGTAATGAAATAAAAAATTAAAAAAAATAAAAATAGGGTTATTTTTTATTTAGTGAGGACGGTAGTGAAGTCATTAGTGAAGTCATTAGTGAAGTCATTAGTGAAGTCGTTTATGTGTCAGATGGTTTTGTAAATATTTAAGGTTAAGTTGGTGTTATGGTTGTGTTGTAAAATATACGTTACCGGTTTCGTAAAGTGTCAAAACCGTTAAGTGGTGTACGGAGGCGCGCAGTGCCACAGTACACTACTTAGGGATACTAACTTCAATCATAAGTCCGGAAGGAATTGTGGAAGAAATTTGATTCAGGGGCTTAAAACGTTCAATAGCGGAGAACCATGCTTGGGTAGGCGTTGGCTGTGGAACAATACCCGTCTTCATGTCCAAAAATGCCTCAAAATGAGATTTGGCATATTAGATATCTTTATTTATTTGGTTATAGGCGGAGATTATTCCAAGATGGCCATGCTGCTCAATTAGGTTTCTAATAGTTACCTTAAGATCTTTTGGTACATTAACTTTGGGTCTCCCGCGCTTAAGGGGAATAGACACAGATGGGTGAGGCTGAGGCTGAGTATTGGCAGAGAGCTGTTGCTGTGGGGGAGTGTTGGCAGAGAGTTGTTGCTGTGCCGAGGTGTTGGCAGAGAGCTGGCGTTGAAGAGGAGTGTTGGCAGAGAGTTGTTGCTGTGGAAGAGTGTTGGCAGAGAGCTGGCGTTGAAGAGGAGTATTGGCAGAGAGCTGGCGTTGAAGAGGAGTATTGGCAGAGAGTTGTTGCTGTGCCAAGGTGTTGGCAGAGAGTTGTTGCTGTGGAAGAGAGTTGGCAGAGAGCTGGCGTTGAAGAGGAGCGTTGGCAGAGAGCTGGCGTTGTGGCGGGGTGTTGGCAGAAAGTGGGCTTTGTAGAGGAGCGTTGGCTGTTGAGAGCTGTTGCTGTGGAACAGAGTTGGTAGTGCTGGCTGATGAAAGCTGGCGTTGTAGAGGAGTGCTGGCTGATGAGGGTTCTTCCTGTATACGAGAGTCGTTTGAACTTTGTAATATCAAATAATCGGTAAGGAGAGTGTCATCTCTGTGTTTCAAAATGGATGAACACTCGTAGAGTCGATTATTATATTTAATGTAGAAAGTAGTAAACTCTTGAAGTTTGTATGTATGATGTAAGTACTCTTCAATAGTAATTAGTCTATTACATAAGAGAGCTTTGTAAAATGTTATCTTGTTAATTGATGAACGAATAGTGTTGTTGACTAATGGAACATTTGTGAGAACAATTGCTAACGGTGTGCGCCTTTGAATCTGTGCTAGAGCTGTTTCAAGCCAAGCTGAATCAACTAAGGTGTACAAATTCATTTTAAACAAATTTGAAATGAAATAATTTGTGAGAATTTGAGAATAATTTAATTATTTCAGAAGTCTATATTGAAAAAATATTCTTAACAAAATTAATTTAAATGGTTCAGAAAATAAAAAATTAAAATTAATGGAAAAAACATGATTAGGAATAATTAACAATAATAAATATAATGGTTTTGGATTATTTAAACAGCTATAAAAGAACGAATTTTACAAATTACGATAAAAAAATTATTGAAAAATAATGAAGAGGATAAGGATTTGAATCGAAAATTAAAAGGATGATTATGTGTCAAATTAAATTAAAATAAAAATTTAGAAGATTTAGACAAGAAATAGTGCAAAGAATTAGAATTAACATAAAAATCGAAAATTTAATAAAGGAGAGATAAAATTATTGTAGTATTCAATTGAAAAATTTTATAAAATAAGGAATATTGGTAAACAAATAAGTTTCATCTAAAAAAAGGAAAATAAAAATATAAAAATTGAAATAAAAACAGAAATATAAAATATTTTAAAATGCAAAAAAGTTTCATACTAATCGTTTTTGTATAATATTTATCATTGAAAGATTATTGAAAGATATTTTGAAAGAAATCGAAAGAGTTAAGAAATATTGAGAAGAAGGACAATTGAATGAATTTTTGGCCGATTGTGCTATGCAAAGTTGATGATAATTGCAGGAAATTTTGAGATTTTCGAGGTTTTGGAGGGTGTGAGTACTATAGCATGTAATAGTATCTCACACCCTCCAATTCATCCTATTGCGTCGAGAAAATTTTGGTGAAATGTCGTCGCATTTCACCAAAATTTCTCGGCGCCATATAGAGAACTAGAGTCTGCGAGGTACTGATTCTATCTATGTACCTCGCAGACCCTAGTTCTCAGCCAAAATGGCTAAAAATTGCTCGCAATTGTTTGCCATGTAAATTGTCACTTTTTGAGGAGATTTGACATTCTGTCAAATCTCCTTTTTTCGTATATAAGATTTTCACTAACAGACCATGCAAATGCAATAGGGATAAGTCTATTATTTGGTGCAGATGTACCAATAATGAGTAAGTTTCCTTTTTTAATACAAAATAAAAACGTTCCATCAATTTGAATTATTCCGCAAAAAGCTTGTGTTTGCATGTAAAAATGAGTTATTGGAGGAATTACAATAAATGAATAAATTTGAAAGTCTTTTGAATTTTCAGGTAATTCATCACCTTTCTTAAATGTATGCAATTCAATTTCATTGTTAACTTCTTTAACTAAAATCATTTCGCAGAATCCTTGTTCGATTTTGTTTATGATTGAAAAAATTGTTGAGAAATAATTGTAAGATTGAATTCTATCCCCTTTTGTGGTTCCTTTAAGTTTATTTACTATATTATGGAACATCGTATAAGTTGCATTGGGAATATTCAATTCTTTTGCAAAAATTTCTTTGCATTGAGGAACATTATCAGAATTTGCTAATTCATAGACTTTTTTTCCTGCTTGCAACTTAAGAATTTTTGGTATATTGTTACTCGGCTTGCATTGCTTTGCTCTATGCTCGTGTTTAATTACTGGAATGAAGAAAAGTTGACCATTTTCATGAGTCTTTACAAGCTCCATGCAAAATTGGCAGTTAGGACAACGAAACTTTTTTCCTTGCTCAAAATTTAATGGATAAAAAGAATTATATGAATCTTTTGCAATAAATATAGCAGCTTCTGTAGGATCTGTAAATTTTAATTTGCTATATCTTTCCTTGAGAATTGGAATTGGGGATTTTCAGGTATTTCCATTCTATATTTCAATTTTTTACGGGAATTCAATTCATTTTGAATTAAATCCAGCATATCAGCTCCATCTCCTTTTTCTTCATCAACAATAGCTTGGATGGATACTGATATAGTTTGATTCTCTTCCACTATTGTCGGTTCGCTTTCCGACATGAGATAAAATTGAAGGTTTAACGTACTTTTGATACTCTGAGTTAAAAAAAGATTTTCTTAACATAATTTGATTTATTGGTCCTTAAAAAATTCTGATTCAAAATTGAATTGAATCGAACGAGTTTTCCTTTTGAGTCATTTCAAATATTCATGAGAAAGAAAAAAATTCTAGCAATTTCAAATATTTTTGATTTGATTGAATTCAAAAGTGTCACAAATATTCAATGAGAAAGAGAAAAGAGATCGAATATGTTGTTTCTGAGCGAATAGTCAAGCAATATTTCGTTAAGTACAAAGATCAGCATCCGGAAAAAAATAAATGGGTATATCAAAATGAGATTCCGCAAGAAATATTTGAAAAATATCTAGAAACGAAGAAAACAGAAAATATTGATGAAATGTTACGCTGTACTCGAATTGTTCATGTTGTTGATCAAGATAAAAAAGAATTTTATCTTGAATTTTCAAAAAAAAATCAAATTCATCACATATTAAACAAGAATCTAGATGAAGAACATCAAAAGGCTTATATAGATTATCTTGAAAGTTTACTCAAACTTGAAATAAAAAATAAAAATTAAATTAAATTAACCCTCGTTAGGATATCGTTGCAAATAAAGATCTGTTTCTCAGAAAGATCCTGATTTTCTGATAAATATTCTGTTGTAACTTCTACAAGGTTTAAGATATGAAAAACATTTTTGAATATTTCATCGCTATCAAATCTGCGGAAACATCTGGAATATAATTTCAAATATTTGTGAAGATTTGAATTCTCAATTGCATAATTAATTAAAAATTCATGTGAATTTAAAAAATCGGTAGATGAAATTTGCATGGGTATAAGAGGAAGTACACAATAATACCCCTGAACTACATACTCTGTAAATGAATAGTGAGGAGAAAGACTTCGCAGAATTTCAAGTGTTTTTATGAATTCTAAAGCCATCTCAGATGTTATATCGACTGCTTTATAAAATAAAACTATAAATTTGAGAAGATAAACAAAATCTTCGTTATTTATAATTGAATTCACGTCATTAAAAAAGTTGAAATAATTTGATATTAGTATATCCGAACATGGAAGAGCAGTTGCATATCCTGGGTAATATTTTAATAATTTTGTAAAGAAATTTGCAATTGCATAAGTTGAATATTGATTTTCGTACTCAATAATACTAGAAAAAATTTCTTTCTTGAGTAAAACTGCGTTTTGGAAGAATTCAACGTCAAGAATATTGTTTTTAATCAAAGCAATAAATGTATCGATGATATAGAGAGAATTGTCACTGCTGCTTATGAAACGTAATATCTCATCATATTGATCGGAAAATGTTGATAAATAAAGGTATTGTATGTTATCTAAAGCTTTAAAATGAATTAATTTTAATGAAAAAATGAAAAAAATCTGGTTAATATAATGCGATAAATATTCGAATAAATTTTCCAGTAGTATCAAATCTATTTGAAAGATATTCGAAGAAGTGATATTTTGAATTGTGAATTTTAATATTGTTTCATTTTGTGTAGATTGCTCGATAATGAAATGTATCAAAAGATTCATTGAATATGAGTCAATGGAAAAGCTTAAATCCTTAGGGATATCCAAAATAAATCTTAATAAAGAAGATTCGTCTTGAAAATTAGCTTCCGAAAGTTCTATTTCAGTCGGAGCTGGAAGATTCCGATCATTTATGAATCTCGAAACGACAGAAAATTTGTATTGTTTATATTTCATTATTCGAAATGATAAACTTCAAAATCTAAAATTTATTTTTTTACAATATATTTCATCCTATTGTCAAGGCTAAATTTTTCACCGGAAGTGTATCAAAAATTGATAAGATTTACGGTGATCTAATTATGACAATTCAATGCATCTCGTGATATAACGCAGATATAAACACAACTGATATTGCATAACTAATAATTGAGTCAAATAACTAAATTATGTGTTATATTTTACATATTTTCTTCAATTTTGTAATAAATGGATGTTTAACACTAATTTTTTAAGGACTTCGACTTTAGCATCACATAAATATGTTATTTTCTATATTAAAACGTAATTTTGGTGGTCTTAGAATAGAAAAATATGCAATATTCGTGGAGATAATGAGGGTTCTTAAACATGTTCTTAAAAATAAATAAAATAATACAAATCTTTATTCAATCTTTTGATATTGTTGGTCCTCTCTTTGTGAAAATACTTAACTTCAAAGAGTATTATGTTTTACCTAGTGAGGACCTTAAGTTTGCAAAAACATAATAAAAGTAAAATAAAAAAGATCGGATTTATCACAAAACTTTGAGTATTATAGGATTTAATATATTTTCTTAGTAGATTATATGATTTAGTTTCTTAAAATCTAAAGTATTTCTTGAGGAAAATATAAATTGAAATTCAAAAAGTAAAAAAAATGTAAACAAATCAAATTTTAAATGGACCAAATGTTGATTTTTCATTCGTTTTCTCATTATCGAAAAAAATTTGGAAAGCTAAGAAGTCAATAACAAGTTATATAATACAACAAAACCCACATCGGATATGTTTTCATCAAATAGTCTCCTAGATTTGTTATGAAATTAAAATATCATGATATTTTAAGGGCTTTTGATTTCAATATTAGAATTATTCAGTTATATCGTGCTAATATCAATTGCTTTATACAATTAATCGTTTACAAGCTGCAAAAATCGAACAATAATTTGACTTTGTAAAAAAAGTGCGTCATTTTTATTCGTTATACTTACAAAATGTAAACATTACGAGAAACATTTACATTTGTAAATGTAACAAGTAAATACATCAGATTTAAATTGTAAATGTAGTTTATCTCTCTCATCTCCTTTTTAAAAGGTATTACATACATACGAACGCATGGGTCACTCAATAATTAGCGTGATAATAATTGAGGATAGACTGTAATCGTAATTTTATTTTTGGACTTATATTTCGACATTTTGAAGTCGCTTGAAAGTCTTGCAAATGATTAAATTTGGAAAATTTGACCTAAGTCTGCATTATTTTGATGACTTAAACAATTCTATAAATCTGTTTTCCTAAAAATTTAAAAAGATATAATTTCAATTTCCCTAAATTTATGTAATTCATATATCACCAAAATATTTGGACTGCATTTCGTTTGTCTGCACCTAATTAAAGTCTAAATACCAATTAATTTTGGAGTTGCATTGCTTTTAATGTAAAAATGCACGTTTAGAAAAAGACGATAACGATTAAATTACAAAATCGATAACGACGACGATTAAATTACAAAATCAATAATGACCCATAGTCTGTCGACTTTACTGAATTGAGCAGTAATAATCTTGTTTTTAATCTCATTCACTTCAATTCCTGTTGATGATCGAGATACTTAAATAGATGAGGACTCATTAGGCTTAATCATTGATGAATTTGATTTTCTGAATATATTGAATTTTTAAGATTGATCATATGTAAAGAGACATTGCATACAAATGCAAAAATTGTTCACATGATACTTCGTTAAAATCTGAGTTTGAATGGAAGATTTCTCAGTTCTAATTGAATTGATGTCAAAAAAATAGTTATGTATTTAAAGATTAAATGCATGTAATGGTCATATAAATCGTTTTAAATAAGTAATAAAAAATTAATTGGCTTATTACATATAGAATTGTTTTTCTATGTGATTCAATAATTTCAAAAATTATACCAAAGTAAGAACCTATACATTCATGTGTATTTTATGCTTTTTATGATTTGAGAGAATTCATAATTCAATTTGAAAACATTATATTTAAAATTATTACCATATTATGAATCATAAAAGAAATAATGAAGCTTTTGAAATCGTAGTCAATTGTTTGAATTCATGTGATTTATTTCTTGAAGAAAATAGACTAACTATGCAATCCAAATGCGATATCAAATTTTATTTTTTGAGAAGTCTCAAATTTTAAATACGATGTAAAAAATGTTAATACCCAATTTCAATACTTATTACAGGTATAGTGGTTTGAAAAAAATTAAAAATTGTACATGCCAAACTATGATGCATCTAAAAAATTGCGTTTATAAAAATTAAATTTGTTATCCAAAATACCGAATATATTTTCTAAGAATAATAATATATTGTTCCTTTAGGACAATTAATGATTTCAATACTACTTCAAATTATTTAACCGCTCAAAAAATCATTAATTTTGATTATTTAAGTAGTTTGACTATATCTAAATCAAAATATGTTTTTTACTTCATTCTCAATTTGATCGAATATTCTATTCCTTTTATTGGCTAATTTCCACAAGCGTTAATATTATTTAATGTAGCATTATATCATATTAATCTTTTAATGATGTCCAACTATAACTAATTTGAGAGTTTTAATTCAATCTAATTTGCTTTATTTTATTAATATGAATATACTATCAAAACTGTCATAGAAATAATTTTCACTTACTTGGATACAGCGAAACGATATTTCAATCTTAAATAAAAATGTTGAGTCAAATTGCAAAAGCTATTCTTGGATAATCTTAAGTCATACAATTTTTAATTCGAAATCACACCAAGTACCAAAATTTTAAAAATAATTCTCAATTTCATTTAGAAATGGCTGATTAGCAGTGAAAGAAAAATTACGATTGTGCAATTAGATTCATGTTTTTAGATAGTTTCTCTTCAATAAGAACTGAATATATAATTTTGAAGTCAAGCTTCATTGCTGAAACAAATATTTCATTATCATCAATATTATTCAAATTAATGTTACGACTGCGTCTGTTATTCAAAGATTCTTCATTCTGTCGTCTAATTACCATGGAGATTAAAAAAAGTTCTTACTTTTATTACTTTTGGAAAACAACTTTCAACCAATTACTTTCTTTAGTTATAAAAGCAACATGAATCTGGAAATTTAAGTGTCATCTAACAATCTTGGTATTAATTTCTTCGCAATTTGAAGCTTTTGAAGGCCTTTTCTCGTCAAGTTGATTTGTTTTATTATCTTAATTCGGATCTATAACTTCATGATATTCTAGGATTTTCTTATGAATCAGATCGGAATGAAACAAATGTCTTTTTTTTCAGAGGATAGGCATATTCAAAATTTTCGATTGAATTTGAATCACAATATCATACAATCAATGATTGGATTCTTAAAAATTATAATGAATTCTGATCAGGTTGTCACCCTTAAAAAAAATAAGAAAATCTCATAATAAGTAGTCTTATTTAAGTATTCTGAGAATACAAGTACCATACATGAGTTATACCTGAAACCTGGATTCTATTTAATCGAAGCATGGGGTGCTCAGGGCGGACAAGGCTGTACAGATGGTAATCTTATGACCGAATATTATGGCGGTCGGGGCTCGTATGTCTCAGGAAAGGTCCATCTCTACTCCACACAAAAGCTATACATTTACCTCGGTGGATCTGGCAAAGCACCATCTAATTGCTCCAAAAATCATATTGGAAGAGGAGGCTTTAATGGTGGTAGTGGTGATGCTGGCATTGATATCCGTGATGATGATCCATCGGGTGGTGGTGGTGGCGCTAGTGATGTGAGACTAATTAATAATTCTGATCCAGAATCCCTTTATAGTCGAATCCTTGTTGCAGCAGGTGGTTCTGGATCATGTTTTAATGGTTATGGTGCTCCAGGTGGCGATTTGACCGGTTATCAACCTACAACAGCATATACCAAAAAATTTTATCGATCAAACACCAACCAAACTAATGGGAACTCATTAGGTTATGGTGCAAATGGAAAGGATAGCGAGAATACCCCAGATTCTGGCGGGGGTGGAGGATATTACGGCGGAAATATTGGAGAAAGTATACAATCTGGTTCTCTGGGATATAAATCTGCATCTTCGAGTGGTTCGAGTTACATCAGCGGCCATTTTGGATGTAATTCAATCGACAGAAATGGAGTTCATACGAATAGACCTGATCATTACTCAGGAATTGTTTTTGAGCAAACAAAAATGTATAATGGCTTAGTTGAGTTTCTTAGTCCGGAAGGGAACTTAGAGGAAGGCCATATTGGCGATGGCGCCATTCAAATCACTCCTGTCTTCATCTGTACTTTGGGCGGGAAACAATACAAATTCTCTATTGATATGCTTATTTTTCTTTTATCTTGAATAAACATTTTCTATATGTAAATAACTATGCTTAATTTTTGCTTTGTCGCCAATAATGTGTCTAAGATTATTTTCATTGTTTAAATCTCTATAATTTATTCTGCTGATAGGAATAATATCCTCAATATAAAATCGAATAACATAATTAACACCTTCAATATATGCATATATCTCATTCATTTATTCCAAGGTCAGAGATTTTTCTATTGAGTGTAATTTCAATTAAATTCATTTATATAATTTTTATTCAGTAATTTAAATACATAGATATTTAAAAATTGCTAAATTAAGCATTACAATTTAACTAGCAACTGCAGAATATAAGAACGGTACTGCAGAGTTCTTAACTGAATCTTTAAATATTGTCTTTTCTGGTTCTTGTGGAATACATTTAAATACTTCTTTTTTCCTGAATCCTGCATCACGAATCTTTTCAGCAAATGACTCAGATTCAAAAGATGTTTTAATGCATAAAAGGGAATAGCAATATGATAAAGCCCCTTCTTCTATTTCAATTTCCGCCTTATTTATTGTTAGGAATTTAAGTTTTGAACAAGAATGAAAAGCATATTCATTGATTCTTGAAACCGAGTCTTCAATTGTGATTTGTATAATGTTTATTGAATATTCGAATGAGTATGATCCAATCACATCATAGCTAATGGAAATAGATTCTTCTGGAGAGAGGGGAGCATGATATAATACTGTTGATATATCTGATCGTTCAATGATTGTGTTATTAACAGCGTAGTATTTGTCCGATGTAAAGTTTTGAATGAAATCGATGCATTTACAATCTTTGAATGCGTTGTATTGAATAACTTCAAGATTTGATTGATTTGATATTATTATCGTTTTCAGATTTGAACAATTTTTGAATGCGTGTGAACCAATAGTACGAACACTTGAAGGGATCGAAACTGATTCAATATATGAGTTGTTCTCAAATGCACTATTATATATTTCATTAACACTATCCATCAAATCAATGTTAGATTCACATCCGAAATAATCATAAACAACTGTTTCGTTTTTGTTTGTAATCAAATAGTTCGGCAACATATATAAATTATCATAATCCAAATATGACAAATTGACTGGCATTTTCATTGAAATAATTTTTTCATGAGTTAAAAATGTGAATCTCTCGTTAAAAATTAATAATCGAGTTGGACCATAATATATGCTATTTGGAAATACATCAATTGAGGATCCTTCAAATTCTATTGTTGCATTTCCTTTTATTTTCAGAATTGAAGTATCAATAAAAGATTTTACGATAATTGAACTACAAAATTGTACATTTTCGCCATAAGATTTAGGTATGACATTTAATCTACAACCATACTCAAATACGGCCTTTTTAGTTGATATTACTGCTTTATCCTGGAAAATGTATTATATCAAGATCACATCCACGAAAACATTCTGATTCAATTGATAACAATTTTGATGGATGTTGAAAACTAACTTCAGTGACTTTGGAATTGAAAAATGTTTGATATCCCAATATACTAACTTTACCAGGTATTTCAATGGATCTAAATGATGTTTGATAAAATGAGTATGGCATTATCAAAGATGTATCTTGATGGAATATTGGAGGCGTAATTATTCCTTGAGGATAATAATATAACACACTCAGATTAATTGAATAAAGTGCGTTTTCATATATTGAAAAGAATCTATTTTTTGGGTCAATTGTAATATCTTGAATCATAGCAAATGCCCCAGAATCAATGTATTCAACATTTTTAGGTATATAGAAATTTGAAATACTAGTATTGAAAAATGCGCAAGATCCGATGTAAGATAATTGACTGTTAGTTCCAAAGTTTACACTTTCTAATGAAATACAGTCTTCAAAAACACTTGAACTTATTTTTACGACTGATTCAGGTAAATTAATGGATTTGAGGTTAATATTTCCAGAAAATGCATCAAATCCTATTGTTGAGATTTTTGAATTTGGTTCAAAGGATAACTCCTGTAAATTGACACAGTTCCGCGCAAAGGATGAAGGAATAGTACTAAGATTTTTGGATATTCTAATCGAAATCAATTGATAAGAATAGCAAAAAGCCCCAAAATCAATATTATTAACACTAGATGGAATGGAAAAATTAGAAATGCTGGAGAATTGAAAAGAATTATTTGATATTGTGAATTTATCGAATTTTTGAATTCCATGTAGCTGTAGGCTTGATAAAAATTCATATTGGAGATTCCGAAATATGAGTTCTTAAAAAAGAATCCAGTTTGATCCAGAATTCCAGACTTTCAAAATTATTCAAAAAGTAATTCTCAAAAATTGAATTACCATTCAATAAAAATTTCCAATATATAAAAATAATAAAATTGATCCGAGCTAAAATACAAAACATAATTGATGAGGAAATTTTGAATTGAAATAAAAATATAAGAAGAAATTGTGTAATGCATCGTCTTATTTAAGTATTCTGAGAATACAAGTACCATATATGAGTTATACCTGAAACCAGGATTCTATTTAATCGAAGCATGGGGTGCTCAGGGCGGTCAAGGTTATACAAATGGAATCATGAAGACCGATTATTATGGCGGTCGGGGCTCGTATGTCTCAGGAAAGGACCATCTCTACTCCACACGAAAGCTATACCTTTACCTCGGTGGATCTGGCAAAGCACCATCTAATTGCTCCGAAAATCATATTGGAAGAGGAGGCTTTAATGGTGGTGGTGGTGGTGATGCTGGCATTGATATCCGTGATGATGATCCATCGGGTGGTGGTGGTGGCGCTAGTGATGTGAGACTAATTAATAATTCTGATCCAGAATCCCTTTATAGTCGAATCCTTGTTGCAGCAGGTGGTTCTGGATCATGTTTTAATGGTTATGGTGCTCCAGGTGGCGATTTGACCGGTTATCAACCTACAACAGCATATACCAAAAAATTTTATCGATCAAACACCAACCAAACTAATGGAAACTCATTAGGTTATGGCGCAAATGGAACGGATAACCCGAATACTCCAGATTCTGGCGGAGGTGGCGGATATTACGGCGGAAATGTCGGAGAAAGTATATTATCTGTATCGCAGCCATTTAAATCTGTTTCTTCGAGTGGTTCGAGTTACATCAGCGGCCATTTTGGATGTAATTCAGTCGATAGAAATGGAGTTCATACGAATAGACCTGATCATTACTCAGGAATTGTTTTTGAGCAAACAAAAATGTATAATGGCTTAGTTGAGTTTCTTAGTCCGGAAGGGATCTTAGAGGAAGGCCATATTGGCGATGGTGCCATTCAAATTACTCCTATCTTCATCTATACATTGGGATCGAAACAATATAAATTTTCACTTGAGATGTGTATTTTTCTTTTATCTTGAATAAACATTTTCTATTTGTTTATGTTTGTGCGTACTTACTTGAACATTTTTCAACACTAGCCAAGCACTTTGAACATTCAATTTAATTCTCAATGACTCAAAAATTAAAATTCATGCGCAAAAAAATCATGAACCTACAAAACATATCACCGGCATCATATGGTGAATGTAAACAAAATGGATCAACATACTGTAGTAAGATTTGAATTTGATTTCTTTTTTCGGACAGTATATCTTACAATATAAATTAAATAGTTGCAATGATCCCATTTTTATGCATAATCCATAGTATATGGATATATTAATTCTATCAAACTATTAAAAGTTTTTTCCATTGGGAATAGCTCTAATTATTTTGTTCTCTAAGCCTTTGTGATGCTATAATTTACATATATTATATAAAACCATTATCATGAGAACTTATTTTTTTTTATCAAAGAATGGAGTCACCACGCCAAGGAGTTGAAGATACAAATGATCCACTTGGCACGGTAAGTCCACTTAAAGTTAGTTCATCTACGGATGCTCTCGCAGTCATTGATGACATAGAAGATATGATAAATAACAAAACAGATTGGGAAGTACGATGTCAAGGGCTTAAAAACGCGATGATGTATTTGAAAGGCAATATCAATCAATTTCCTGGATGTGATTTTACCATATTATCAACAGGAATCGCAGACTGCATTTTAGATAGTCGTTCAACTCTCGTGAGGTGGGCAACTTTACTTGTTTCAGCATGTGCAATGCAACTAAAGTCAGGATTTGCTAATTCTTCCGATATTTTAATTCAGAATCTTTTCAAACAAGTTCCAAACGGGACTCAATACATTTCTAAGTCGTGTTCTGCTGCTTTAAAGTACATATATACTTATGTTACACATCGTAGAGTAGCTAGATCTTTCTTAACTGCAGCTTCGAATAAATCTCCAGCTTCCAGAGTAATTGTAGTGCAAGCAATTGAATGCTTTGCAAATAACTGGCCAATTAAAATCGTTGTAGGCCTAAAACAGAATATAGATCACGTTCTTAACCATATGGTAAACGATTCTTGTTTCGAAGTTAGAAAAATCGCTTCAAGAGTTACAGTTCCTTCATCAGTAAGTCCGCCTACATCACCGCGATCTCCTAGTTTAAAGAATACTAAGAAAATAGAAGAAAAACCTAAGAAAGGAATACTTAAGACGCCGAATCGAGCACCGTCAGCATCTCCATCGAAAATACCGATCAAACTACGTTCATCTCCAAGTTCTCCAATGGAAAGAAAAAAGAATCATCGCGTTTCTTTCGCAAAAACAACAGATGAGATAATAATAGACGAATTTCGTGATACTAGTAATAAAAAGCAATCTAATTCCTTCGAATTACAACAAAAAGAAGAAAATAAAATTCCAGAAACTACAATTGACGAATTAATGCCTCCAACATCAGTTAAAATTACCTTAAAATTCCTCAACATGCTCGATGATATTATACAATGTGATCAAATCGATAAACTCGACGGATTAGAAGAATTATTACCTGAATCCATCATTATTGGCTCCAGATACGTTGCTGATTTTGCTAAATGGAGATATTCATTGGAGTTCCTCATACCTAAGTTCTCTCAAGAGTTCAAAGACAAAATTCTTGAAATATTAAGCACTTTTTTCTTTGATTCCCTCCTTTTGGAGATAGTAGATGAGGTATACAAGATCAATACTATTGCGAAAATGTATTTAGAAGCTCCAAGAAGCTTCACAAACGATGCGATTCAATTCTTCTACCAATGCTCAATAAAATTCCCAGATTACGTACCAGAAATCCAAGTAGTACAGTATTTGAAGTCGATTTCGGAGAATATTCCTCAAAAATATTACGAAAATTTGCATAAATTGATACAACTTGGAACTCCTGCTTCAAACAACAAAGAACCATTGATACAATACATTAAGACACTTTTAGACAACGAATTACTTGATTTTGAGAGCCAAAAAAATTTACTTCAAATTTATAATTTGACTCCATCGGAATTGACCGATTTTGAGAGGGATCTGGCCATTCTGTGGGAAGATATCGTTGCGCAAGGAAAAAACAAACTTATTGACAATTTTACGAAATTTTTAGTTTCTGTTGTTCCGAAACTGGATGTAATGTCATTTGCTGGGTTTGTTGATCCGCTTTTCATACTTATTTCCAGCGAATCTCCTTTAAATCAAAAGAAATTTATTGAATTATTGACAGAATTCGTCGGAAACGAAGAAACACTGAACTGCATATTAAGTATAGTTGATAGCCATATCAAAAAAGAGAATCTTGAATCAGGAAATTTGAATATCATAATTAATTCAATTTTTGAATACATAAATAGTCATTCTGACGATAAAACTGATGAATTGATAACTGTTATATCACCGCGGATTACTCCTCTTCTCAAATCTTCTTCTACTTCAATAAGAAGGTACACTATCAGTATTTTTAGTGCTTTTTATAAGGCGAATTATGCTTTGTTTGAACCTTATTTTAAATCTCTTGCTCCAGCACAGCAGAGATTAATTGTTATGTATGCTAAAAAATAATATTGTTTTTTAATTATGTTTTTTATTTAGTTTGTGATAAACATGAATCATTTCTCCTCTATGTCGTTCTATTGAAAAGATAAGGTTTTCGATATTTGGTAAATACAATAAAAATATTTCATAATTTTGATTTGTGTCGAAATTTTGCCGTCCTTTGGATCTAATTATTGAAATATCAACTCAAACTAGTATGCTTACATATTTATGAAATCGAATTATCGACTTCAAAAAAGTGCTAGATTACAAAAACCTAAAAAACTTGACATGCGGTGACCATTTAGCAAATTATTAATTCTTGTTTAATAGTCAAGCAAAATCAAAATTCGTTCACTTTCGAAACTTCAAAATCAAAAAACAATTTCGAGAATAACTTCACATTTCGTGAATATGCATTATACACGGTGTATAAATAAAGATGATATGAAGAGAACGGTTTTGATATTTATAAAACTGTCCAAATAGCTGTTTTTATCAAATAATCCCGTTTGTCATTCGGTTTTTTTAGCCGTCTCCGCAACTCTTTCTTGATTGATGCTTTACCAGGTTAACTACCAGCAGGCATCACCTGTAAAGACCGCGGTGTCCTTAAAGAGCGTGGCGGAAAAAGTCATTGGCTTTTTTAATTCCCAGATTTCAACTATCTTTGATATAAACGATGTTTCTATCAAACTAAATGTCCCCAAGCGTAGATTATACGATGTTCTCAACATTATGGCACCACTAGGCTTAGTTGGTCGTAATGGAAGAGGAAGGTACATATGGACCGGACAACTTCAACCGGTTTTCAATTTCACTACAAAAGACGAAAATACAGACAAGTCTCGAGTCAGAGATATATCTGCCAAACTTCTACTCTTTGTAAAAGATGTCGAAGTCAATAAAGTTTCTATAGCCTCTATTTGTGACGCCGTTTTCGAAGACAAGAAAGGGCAATTACGCAGATTATATGATATTTCGGCAGTCTTCGAAGTCCTAAACCTTATCAAAAGACAGCCAAAATCAGGAGATTTCATAATACTTCCTTTACTCAAAAACATGTTCATGTTCAAGATGCTACCCCCGAAGAAGAGGGCAGCCCTTGGTCAAATTACAAATCGCAATGATAATCCTGATATCAAGACAACACCCTCTAATATATCTCCGTGCCCTACATTACCTCAGCCTACAAATGGTCAGCTATGGCTTGGCGCCACAACTTTCCATTAACTTCTTTTTATTTTGGTCAAATACCAAAAATTTTTAATCTCTTTTAATTTTCTTTTCTTATAATAAAATTTCATATATTCTTAATCATCGGTAACTATTTGCTTTGATCAATGTCAATGATATAATTAATTTTTAATTGCGTTATTTAATCCTGCAAATATTATTGCATTTACTATAACAAAGCGATTTCATGTCATATTTTTTATCCTGTAATGTTAATAACTTCCAAGTATGAAATCAATCGTAAAAATTGATAATTTCGATTATCTGACAGCATATATCGCTTAAATATAAATTCAGAAAAATAACATTTTCGGTTTAATTCCAAAATTCATACGCCATTCAGAAAGGAAGGGGATATAACCAAAATTTTGACATTTGTAAAAATACTGTACGTTTAAAAATGTCACGTTTATTATCGCGAAGTTTTGAATGGAAAAAATTGTGATGGTTTTGCAATAATGGTAGTAAATTTGTAGTATAGTATAAAAATTGTAATTTCAAAATTAAATGAGCAGAACGAATTTTTGAAATATTTACATTTTATGATCATTATCAATTCAAAAGTTCCTCAATGTAATTTGGTTCCATTTCATATATAATTTAAAAATCAGAACATAATCCAAATAGTGAGTACAAAGATCACAATTTTATTTGTTCAAGATTTCCAGAATTATTAAAATGGTTTTTGTTCAAATAGATCAAAATAGATATAAATTCTCATTTTTCGTAATTTTTCCTTGTAATTTAGTTCCAAAATGATCGTTTTTAATTCATCGAAATTTTATTTGATTCATTTTTACAAATGATCTACATAATTTGACTAGAAATGTTTCATTGATTTTAAATATATTGATAAATTTATTTTAATAACGAATATTTCAGATAAATATCTATAAATTTCAGCATATATCAACTCATATTCATATGACTTATTTTCCTTTTTTATAAAAATGCGAACTATCATTATTCAATGGATTTAGTTTGGAATAATAATCCCAAACATTAAATCTATGCATTTGCTTTGCGCAAACATAACCTCATTAATTTCTGGCCCATTGTATGCCTATCTTGACAATTTTGGTCTCCAGAATTGATTCTCTTTATATAAAATGAGTAAAACGTCTAATATAACGTGTTTTTTAAGAAAATGTCGCGATCCAGGAACGTCAGGCATTCAATGCCAGCAGAGCTACTGGCTTCAAATAAGCTTACTGCGAAACGTTATAGATTTTTTCACCCATATGAGCAGAAATATCGCTCGTCCGCCTCTTTAACGGGAAATCAAATCAGAATTTATTCATCGACGCCAACATCTAACAAGAGATCTCAATTAGAATCAGAAGATTCTCAAAGATCTCAAGCCTCGACTGCTAAATCTTCTCAACGTTCTCCACAAAAAAATCAACAAGAGCAAAAGAAACAACTTCCCTCGATTTTAGAAGACGAACAATGCATTGAAGCAAGAAATAAATATATGGGCCAAGAGAACCCTACATTCGAAGAAGAAGATCCGGAATTTCTTAAAGTTTTTGTTGAGCACATGAAAGCTTATACATTAGATTGTGCTTCAAAGGAACAGTATGAAGAAGGTAACCAAGCAAACATTCTCACACAAAATTTAATCGAAAAATTACATTCCATCAAAAATTCTTACCAAAAGTCAGAAGACGAAAAGATCGAATATCAGAAGAAGGCCGATGCCCAAAAAGAAAAATGGAAACAAGAACTCGATGAATATGATCAGCAGACACAAGAAAGATTAAAGGCTTTAGAAGAGAAACAGCAAGAAGAAATTGACAAATTCAATAACGGTTGGGATGAAGATACAATGAGAAAGTACAGAAAACCATCAGGACAGCTTTTGAACCTTTGGAGAATGGAAAAGTTTTTAGCAAAGCAGAAACAGTTCGAAGAAGCTGAGAGAATTCACGGAGAAGCTGAGAGGATGTCTGCTGCTGAACAAAAACAAGCTCAAGCTAATGTTGAAAAAGATTATAAAATGAAATTAGATAAACTTGAAAAGAAACATCAGCAAGAGAAAGAAAAATTGTTTAAAGAATGTGAAGCTGGAAAGAACGTTATAATTACAAGACAATCTAAAGAAGAAATGCAATTATTGAATCGTGAGACCGTTGTGAACTTTAAATCACAAGAAGCACCACGTAAAAACTCTCCTCAGAAGGAATGTGGAACAAGAGATCTTCAAAAGAAGAAATATTCCCAACCTTCCGTTTCATTCCAATTTCCAACCACTTTACCACCTCTTAATCCACCAGTTCAACAAAAGAATAAAGAAGAAAACAATGAGAAGAAGGAAGATAAGGAAGAGCAAAAGAAAGAACAAGAGAAAGATAATCAACAAAAAGAAAAGCAAGAAAATGAAGGAGAGCCAAAGAAATCTTCTTCTTCCTCTTCCTCTTCCTCTTCATCAAGCTCATCGGCAGAGAATAGTCCGAGAAAATCCGAAAAATCATCTTCCAGATCTGAGCCAGAAATGAAAGATGAAGAAACAGCAACACCAGAACAAAATCCTGATGAGAAATAATAAGAATTCTTGTAATATATTACTTGTGTTTCTTGTCATGTTATTTTCTATTAAAAATTTCATAATGTTTTATTGTAATTAAGGGTGCACCCGTATGTACGTTTATTTGAGAGGAGGAGGATTACCCTCTCAATTTTGAGGGATTCGTTAGTTTATTTTCTCGATGAATATGCAATAAAATTTGATTTTTACCTTATCAATATACTTCATATAATATACGCATGTTCATGTAAAAACTTTTTTCCAAAATCCTCAGGAATTAAGGGATTTTTGAATTTTAAGAATTTTTTTCGAATTTTTTCGAAAAAAGATATTTTCAGAACAGCCTTAACGGCTAAGATTTAGGAACAATGTTAAGTATCAAAAAGAAAGGAGGTCTGATATAGACAACATATATCGTTGAAGGTTGAAAAAATCTCTAATATTTGAGCCCAAAATTTCAAATTTTAATTTTTTGAAAAAAGAGGCCACCCGTATGTACGTTTATTTGAGAGGAGGAGGATTATATTTTTGAAAGGGTGAAACATTATGAATATGTTAATTATATAATAATATGTATTATTCTAAAAAAGAAAAAATAAAGCACGTTAAAATTTTTCTTTCTTGATTTTTTACAAAATCTACTTAGAATTATGCAAAATATGACTAAATAATTATAAATTTCAAGTTAAATTTTAATTTTGATAAATAATTTAAATTTCAAAATATCAAGTTCAGTTCGACTATGTATGTAGTAATTCCTCAATAAAGTGCCAAAACCCTATTAAAATATATGAACATTTTCAACATTTTAATGTTTTTATTTAAAAATTTGATGGAATATGAGCTTCAAACAATTATTATGTAAATAAAAATAATTAAAGATATGTATTTATTCGTATTACAACCGTAGTAAGTCGATTCTTCCTTTCTTCTACTGAGATTTGAATTTGATTTCGAATTGTAAAGAGATTCAAAGGGAAAATACTAGCGGATAAAAACTACCTCCATGAAAGGGTCATAATGGAGTCAAGTTGTATTTTTTGATATTTTTTGCTTTTCGAGCCTAAATAGGTAGCCAAGATAATGCCTAAAAATAAGGTTCTAAATTCTGAAGTTTACATGATCCTCTCGTGTGCACCCTTAAATAAGTCTCGTGTACAAGAAAAAGCTTAAATTTTGGCTTGTTTTAATAAAGCTTGACGGGAAGCTACTGATTGCTTAGGTAGGCGAGGTCTCAATGATTTCTATATTTAATTACAAAAAACTTTTTATTCGGAAAAATAAATTGTTAAAAACAATCAATCTCTATATTTCTGTAGCAGCAATATCACCATTTTCATTGTCTATCAGGTTATCATTAATGTCAGGTTGACATTTATTTCGGCATAAATTAATCAATCGATAGACTGAATAAGATATTAGAATGAGCCCACCAAAAATCGAAACAAGTATTAAGCAAACAGTAAACATTGTCTGCTCCTGAGAATCAAAATATGAACCAGTTATAGAGATTGATGAATTTGTAGGTGAGATTTCAGAAGATATAGATTCATTTAAGATTGATGAATATGCAGTAGTTTCAAATATTTTTTTATCGGGATAGGATTTTGTATCGGTTTCTTTGTTTTCTTGATATAACTCATTGGAATTTAAAGTTATTGTTCGTGATAATATTGGCTGTATGGTCTTCCTTTTTGAATTTTTGCAATTAAAATTAATTTTGAGGAAACTTTTGTATGAAAAAGGCCCACTTCTTGAGAATGCGCATGAAGTGCATATTCTTTTGGCATAATTAAATCCTATATACGAAAAGATAAGAGGTATTACAAAGCTTGTAATCATTGATATACTCTCAAAAAAATTGAATTCATTTGGATCGTTTATGAAATTTAGTACCAACCAACTGTATCCAATAATATTGTGAAATTATTTTTAACGAATTCGGATTGATTCAAAAATTTGAAAGGCTATGAAAATGATCGTTTCAAAATGTCATATATTGATAATATCTATGTGATCAAAATTAACAGTTTTCCTAATTCAGTGTTCTCAAATTTTGATTGTTATAGACCGAAAATATATTTTTTCGGTTTTCTCTTCAAATAATTGAAAGAATGATACTATTATAGGTTTATTATATTATATAGCATATAATCATGCTATAGCCGAAAATTATAAGTTTTGAGAAGATTGAATATAACACAAATAAATTTGAATGTAAGTTAAATTGCTTGTTGTTTTTAATAGCTATTTAATGAGAAATCCAAAATTGCAAAATTCAAATTGAATGATTGAAAGAACAGAAAAAGTCATTCTTTTCAATTTCGAATATGTTTCATTGTATTTATAATTATATGGCAAATAAGATATTTAAACTTGATTTTTGAAGGAAAATTCACAAAATTGAATGAATTCAAATAATTTTTATTCAAAAATAAACTAGTTATTTAAGTTTAATACTAATTATCTATTCAAACTACAAAGTTTGTAATTTAAAATATTTTGTGAGATCAGATTGAATTAATTCAAGGTTCTTTTCAATTAATATTAATGACCATATTACGCATTTTCGAACATTCTAAACCAAATATATAAAAATAGGAGACGAATGTTAAATTTGCTAGACATGGGGGAGTTGTCTGCAAAGTTTTAGCTCTTATCTCTAACAAAAAATTAATTTTTAAAAAAAAGACCGAATACGTTTCACAGCGAGAAAAAAATAAAAGGCAAGATAGAATTTTCTAGACATAAAGAAGTTGTTTACCGAGTTTTAGCTCTTATCTCTAACAAAAAATTAATTTTTAAAAAAAAGACCGAATACGTTTCACAGCGAGAAAAAAATAAAAGGCAAGATAGAATTTTCTAGACATAAAGAAGTTGTTTACCGAGTTTTAGCTCTTATCTCTAACAAAAAATTAATTTTTAAAAAAAAGACCGAATACGTTTCACAGCGAGAAAAAAATAAAATGTACACTGATTTTCATTTTCATTTCCAGTCACTTTACTTATTATTTTTTCTTTTTTTCATTTTAATTATAAATTATTTCATAATACCTTTATTTACGTTACCATTTTCTTTATTCTTTTGAATTCCATACTAGACACTTATAGAATATTTTGATTGTTAACGTACTTCATTAGAATGAATCCTTACAAAGGGTATGTCGATCGAATTTACCTAATTGGTATTTCCAATCAGATTGAAGAAGGTAAAATGACATGGGAAGAAGCTTGCACCCATGTTCCCATCGCCCCAACCCTTCAATCAAATGATTTCAAATATTTAGATGTTTCAAAATCTTTTTTACAAAATCAATTTAGCTTACAGAATATCCCATTGCCTAAAGGCAAGAAAGGTCGTAGGGTCAATCCTACGACCAAATCAAAGCTCTTGCTGTGATACATGACCACTGGGCCTTTCCCTGTGGTCAAACAAAACAATGGAAACGTTTGAAATTACAACAAATTGATGTATCTTATAGAGAAGTACGCAGATACTTCAAAGAAAATCATTTCACCAAGACGCAATTAGAGCATGCCGGGCCAGAAACAGCAGTAAGATATTGGGCGCTTTCACCCAATCTTATCTGGCACGCAGATGTTCATTATTTTAGGGGTGTTCGTGGCCAGTATATTTATGGCATAATCGACGATTTTAGCCGCAAAGTCCTAGCGTGTATACAAATACCAGATATGCTGGCAGCGACGACAGCGAATGTTGCGGCTTCCGCCTTCATTGAATTTGGCGCCCCTTATTGTTTCTGGACCGACAACGGTTCAGAAAATAGGGGCGCCTTTTAAGATCTACTTGATCTTTGAGGCGTCCAATGGCGGCATACAGACTCTCATTCTCCCTACCAAAATGGGAAGATTGAGAGATTCTGGCCGACATTGGAGCGCTGCCAAAGCATTCAGGCTATTCCTGCCTTTATTTGGGAGTACAATAATAACACACCGCATGAAGATAGTTAGTATGGGTTAGTTGGGTATGGTGGCACTGTGTTCCATCTTACCCATTATATGTGAATTTGACACTTTACTGTCATAAGACGAAATGGTGGAAGTGAGGTGAAGTCAAAAAGTGACATATATTTGGCCGGCTAAATTCCCCTTTAGTTTACATGTCAAAATTACAATAAATTAATTATTTTGCTTAGCAATTAGCTATGTATTAAAACTAAAATTATTACTATTCAATTCTTTACATTCAAATATTAAACAATTCAAATTTAATAACAAAGATATTACAATAAATAAAAAAAATGATTAAAAATGTCCCTGAAAATTTTCTGAAAGCTATCTCGTGTTTAGGTCTCAATTTTTTTTAGAAATAGAAAAAGATTGGATTTAACTTTCAAACATTATATATAGTTTTGTATATGGAAGCCTTTAAATACAAGTTAATGATATGGAGTTGTATTGCGAGGAAGAGGGAATCAAAGAAATTGACGAAGTTCCAGAATTTTATTCAACAATTCTTAATCAATTAACAAAAACTATACTGAAACTTATCTTACCATCCAAATCAAATCACATTACATACGGAATAAACATTTAATCTTTTACCATTAAAATTATATTTATACGTTATTTAATTTTTTTACGTCTAAGTTGAATAGGATAATAGCCGAAGATATAAAGTAGAGATGTGAAAACTTAAATTTTATAATCCCTGGGATGCACTTTCTTCGATTTTTTTAAAATTTTTGGGATAAATTTTGACATCTTTTTTTTGCTGGCGACCCCCCACCCGTTCACAAAAAAAATATCGAGCGAAGGGGGGTCGCCAGCAAAAATCGAAAATTTTTTTGGTGAACGGGGGGTCGCCAGCGAGAACCTTAAAAATAAACTTCAGAAAAAAAATCTAAAAAGAAAAAAAGAAAAGGCCCTGGGTCGAACTGGGGAACTTAAGGCTTATACTATGACTCTTACCACTGAACTATATTATCTGTGGATCGGTGCTTTATAAATTGTAAATATAAAGATTATCATAACGAATTAAAATATAAAATAATAAATATTACTCTTATATATTATTAGATTTTAAATTACAAAATAATAATAACAAAAAAAATATTCATGACCGGAGGTTTTAATTAATGTTTAATGAAAGAGAACGATTCATTATAAATTATTGAATGTTAAATTGTTGTAAAAACACATTGAAATATTTGTGAAGAAAATGGCTATTTAATATTGAAAAATAAATAATAACAAAATGTTTATTTCATTTAGTTGCCATTAAGATATGACGGCTATTTAACAAGTTTTTCTTGGATCTTAACCGCCTAACGTTCAAAATTAACCTTTGTGCTTTGATATTACGTTCACATGTTGCCTCCGAAGGAGATAAACATAACAAGCGTAATGCTATTTCCGCAAGGATGGATTTTTCTCCAATTCTATGCGAGATCTCTTCCCAAGCATAATTTTGTGCCTCGTCCATCAGATCGTTCTCAAAGATGTCTGATTCCTTATTGATGAACGTATTATATAACGAGAGTACAAGCGTTTTTTGTCTTTCGTTCAATCGGAATTGAACCAAAATGCGCTTGAGGTAATCTTTAGCTGCTGTTAGATCATTTTCGGCAGTCTGATGATTATCCTCGCGTACATCTTGCAATGTAAGCCTAAGTTGATCATCAGATTCGACAATTCTACGAAATGTGCCTTCATCTGTTACATCAATTACAGCGTTTGTGTTACCTTCCTCAAAAATAGAATCCATGTAAATGTCCTGTAAATCTTCTGCCGGATCTTTATCAGGAATATGCTCACTTTGAAAGGAACTCAAGGGATCGGCCAAATCTTCTACTTCTTCGTTTTTAACAAACTTTCTATGGAAGTAGAACCTTCCTCTCGGCGTGAGAGAGAATGCCAAACACCATAGCCCACCAAAGTCAGAGTCCAAGGTATAGCTATCCAATGAAGATGCCAAGATGGATCCGAATGCATTATGCAAATTGGATGTCAAAAGATTGAGAGCTGATATGGCTTTACGAAGCCAAATGTAACAATTTGCCAACAATGCCTTATCCGATTCGAATACTAAGATTAGCTTTTTAAGAACAGCTAAACAATCTTTCAATTGTACGATTTTATCGTGATCTACATTTATATATTGCTTGATTTTGTTTTCGTACTTAAGAATAAAGACACATATATTATAGTCATATATCCATCTGGTGGATACATGCTGTGGACATTGTGCACCTATATCGTCAGCATGAATGCGACAAAGTTCTGCAATTCTGTGCACATCCTTTACTAAACTTTGTAACTGGTTGTTCTTGCCAGCAATATATTGATAGCTGTTGTGGATTCTGTGACACAAACAGGGAATAAGCAATATCTTGTAGTATTTTGGATCTCTGTCATGATAGAATGAATCATTCCAAGTATCTTTGAAGCATTTTAACTGTGCTGGTCCTCCGTCAACTACCACACTACCTATCTTGACTTTCCTAATGTCAATTCTGTTAAATCCTGCTGTTATTGCGGATTTATAATCCTGACTTGTCTGGCCATCCTTCATATCTATCGCCTCTACTGGGTATGGCTTCATTTGCTCCAACGGATTTGTTAAGACAAAATCAAGATTGTGGTAATCATGTGTCTTGCCTTCATCGATGGCGACACAAGTGTATGCTTTTTTGGCGAATTCGAGAACTTTAGCAAGGTGTATGCTGTTAGCAATAGCAATCATTCTATTTCGGATCTCATCACGTGTAATAGGCTTATATAATTTGTCAGCAAGTTTTTCCGGATTGATATTAGCTGACTGAAGTTGTTTGTATTTGTTCATCATTTGATATATTGTGAACATAATGAAAATCTTTGCAACATGCGTGAATTCTGGGGATGCAAATGTGTCTAAGGCAAGGTTGAACTTACCGGTAAAAATGGTCATTTCATCGTATACATTCGATAAATCCAACATTGGATCATTTGGCTGTTTACCTTTATTGTAGTAGTCAAGTAATGTTTGCTGCGATAATGCTTCTCCGGCTGACATGTGTGAACATGAGTCTTAAGCCAGTTTTTATAATGATCCTCCCTTTGTTCTTGCATTGAACACCGGCAAACTACGCCATCAGATCGTGTCACAAGTTCATTGCATTTTACATACCACTTGGGACTACCTTCATGTTTATATCGCATGTAAACATGTTGTTTCGTTTCAAGATCGGGATATGTTGTGAACCCGACTTCTTTCATTAATGAAGTGATTTCTTAAGTTGAATAAAAACAAATTTGATTGAAATTCATACAAAATTTTTTATCATTATTATTTAAGATGCTTTTTTATGTTGAATTGTTAATTTTTTTATTTCCACCTGGGATATTTTGAATTGGGCTAGCCCAATCCCACCTCTCAATTTTCTCTCAATTGGGCAATGGGGATCCCATATAAAATGTATTGTAACAAAATTTTACATGCATAATATAGTACAATTAAACAACATTCTAAAAATATTAAATTCACATCATTTACTTGAAGATTTTATATTTTCAACAAAAATTAATACAATAATTACATTAAATTGAGGAGATTTATAATAATTATTATAAATTAAAATATTATTACTCATTAATTTGTTGAAATATTGCATTTTAGTGGTAAAAATTAAAATTTAAGTTTACATGCAGAAAAAAAATTTTAAATTCCAAAAAAAATTCAATTGGGATAACGATAGGGACAAAAATTTAGAATCCCCATATGCTTGGGATAAAATCACATGAATATATAAAGTAACTATAGTTTACAAGCTAAGGAACAAATCAGCATTGAAACTAAAAAATGCTGAAATATTATAATAAATTGAAGAAATACTGTGATAGAATACCTAGTTATACTAGATACTATTATAATATGAATTCATTTGTATTGAATATCGATAATAAAAAATCGATGAAATATTAAAATGAGAATAAGGTCAGGTATGAGGGGCTTCCAGGCACTTCGTGCCCTCTAGCCCATAAGAAATTTTGCCCAAGACCCAAGAGGAGGACCGAACCCCAGCCGACCAGCCGGTGACTTTTTGGTAGAGCGCTCAAAATAGTATAACTTTGTCCGGACAAGTAAGGGTCTATCGTCGCTACAGGAAAAGTTACAGGCGTTCCAAGGAAGTATACTTTGAGAAGCCTTTTCCCCCTTATAGAATGAGATAGGACGGTTATTTTACAAAACTGACAACACTTTGACCGAGTAGTTTTTTGTGCTGAACAAAAAGTGTCATATAAACATCTGTCAAAAACCGTTTTTTACTTCACTTAAAATGCCACGTAAGCTACGTAAGAATATACGTAAGAGGAAGAGAGCATTGAAACATCCAATAGTAAAACTGACACCACAACAACAGTTGCAACAACAAATGATGAATGACCCCACTATGTTGCAACAAATGTCAAGCAACCCTATGCTTTTAAACCGAGTTATTGGTGCACAGAGTGGAGGTTTAAGAGCGGCACTTTTAGCGAAAATGGCAGGCTATGGTGGAGCTGCAGACGGAACAGCTTATAACCCTCAAAGTCAAATGAATTTGAGTTCACTCAAAAATCAAATAACAGATGTCAAAAAGTCAAACATAGACATACAGAAACAAATAAGTGAAAACGAAAAGAAACTAGAATATGACAGACACACAAAGAAACTCAATGAGTTAAACGTAGAGAAAAAGAAGAAAGAAGAACAACTGAAAGAACTAAGTACAGAGGAATATGCGAAAAAAGTGTCAGAAAAAGCAGCAGAAGTAGCAAAAATGGAACAAGATGTTATAAATTTGAAAAACCATACTACTCAATATAAAGTACTGAAAGATGAAGAGATAAAACAAAAAGCCCTGAAGACATATATGGATAGCGATGAGTATAAAAAAGAAGTTGAAGCAAATGTAAAGGCAGAAAAACTTTACAGTTGCAAAACCAAACCGTACAGTATGAAAACTTAGCACAAGAAAGTAAAAATAACGACGCAGCCATGCAAAAGGCAATGAAAAGCGCAGAATATATAAAAGCTAATAATGACTAGTTAGATGCCCAAGCCAACGCTAAAGCAGCCCAACTTATAGGGTCAATAAGGACAAAAATACAAGCGGATGAAGACAGTTCAAATGAAGCTTTAATGAATGCTGACTTTAAGAATGCCTTCGAAGCTCTTCATAGTAAGGTGAAACTAGTGAACGACTTCTCATCTGGAAAGAAACTGAAGTCTGAAGGTTTCGACAAAGAGTTAAGAGAAGTAGCACAAAATATGACGAAAATAACAGATGCAGCAACGAGACAGGCAGTTCAAAGTGCCTATGACGCCGTTAGAGCAACTGTTGTGGAAAGTCAAGAAAAAGAGTTACAACAGACCAAAACAGACCTAGTAAATGCTTTCTTAAAAACGAAATGTCAGGTAGGACATTATGCTGCAGATGGAACATATGTGCCAGCTGGTGGAACTTATATACCAGCTGGTGGAACTTATATACTAGCTAGCGGAACTTATATACCACCAAACCCTCCAAGAGAAGCACTTGCACCAGGACTACCTAAAACATTTACATCGTCACATGGACACAGACACAGGCATGCATCAAAACCAACACAACAACCAACAGTTCAAAATCCAGCACCACAACAACAACCAAAACCAACAGTTCAAAATCCAGCACAGCAACCAACAGTTCAAAATCCAGCACAGCAACCAACAGTTCAAAATCCAGCACCACAACAACAACCAACACAGCAACCAACAGTTCAAAACCCTGCACAACAACCACCTCCACAACCAGCACAGCAACCAACAGTTCAAAATCCAGCACCACAACAACAACCAACACAGCAACCAACAGTTCAAAACCCTGCACAACAACCACCTCCACAACCAGCACAGCAACTACAAACAGAGCAAGGACACAAAAGAAGTAGAGAAAAAGGAAACCAAGAATTCTTAAAAATGCTTAAGGAAGATTATGGTTACCCAGATACTCTTGACTTTAGTGACAGATATAAAGAAGCTATTAGAAAGTTCAAGGAAGGAAATACTGACCCGAACCTATTTAGCTTTATGGTTCAGCACCAAATAGGATATAATTTCAAACCTGGAAAATACAAGCTCGCTAAGGGATATGATTTAATAGCATATCATCCAAATGACATGACTGAATTTACTCCGAGATATTTGATGTCAGAGATAAATGATAATTCAACTTTCGTCATGAAACGCGTAAAAAATAGAGACGGAACGAAAGAAGAAAGGGTTATGAATGCGGATGACTTAAATAGGGAACTTGTTAAAAACGGTCTCGGAATATATGAAATGCCACCAGATGAGGTACAAGAAACTCCACAGGAAGAAGTTCAGATACAACCAGACATGGAAGAAATAGTTCAGCAACAACAGCTAGAAGAGCCTGAAGGAAACGAACAAGTCCCTCCTTTGGAAACTAACTTCACAGAACTAGATGAAGATTTGGAACAGCCGAAAAATCTTGACCCTCAACAAGAGTATGCGGAGAATATGGAATCTTTCCAAGAGTCTAAGAAAAATTCGGCTGACATAGTAGAAGAATATCGAAAAATGTTCGCCGACATACAAAAGACTCCAACATCAGATGAAAATATTCAGCATAGAATGGAAGTACTGAAAGAAAATGTACGCAAATACAATAATCCTTTTTTACTTACGACCATATAACGTTCAATCTTTGGCTGAACTCGGTGAAAATAAAAGGTTAAATTTCAACAAAACATATAGAAATGAAACATTGTTTAAAGTTCATTCAGAACCTAACCAAGATGGAAACAACCTACTTTTGTTTCTGCAGACTATGGAACTACAATGAGATGGGGTCATAAAGCTAATCCGGATAGGTGGTTCATAAACTTACAACCACAATTCAAGAAGTTGTAGACGCAATGGAAGTGAATGGTGAACCAGATATAGCTGGTATTTTTCAGCGCGGCTTTAATGCCATTGAAAGATATGAAACATGCAGATATTTTGGACCAGTATGAAATGAACATGGCTGATGGAAATATAACAACTGACGTTCTAGAACATTTATCTCAAAGAACTACACAGAACCATAGAGATGTATATTTGGTTGAAGAGTTTAGAAAGAAAGTTAGGGAGAGAGAAGGAAGAGAACCTATTGTACATGACCTTGCAAACGAAAGTTTGCAAAATGTCATAAAAACTTACTTTGCAGACAATGAACCGAGAAGGGATGAATATTTAAGAAAACTCAAATGGACAGTACCAAATGAAATGTTAGTATTGAAAAACATGTTCCATGACAAAATAAAACCAACTACAGAAATAAATGACGCAAGACTGAAACATTGGGTAAAAGCTTTCCCATTCACAAAAGATATTATTGGTAACATGGAAAGAAAACCAGAATGGCTACAAAAACATATATTTGGAAACGAGCTTATTCCATATCGGACAAGCTCTGTTTGAAGAGCTTGAACCGGAAAACTCAGGAAAGAGTCATGCAAACAATAAGCGAAGACTCAAATACAAACTATGACAAAATCTTTCTAGGATATAGGTTACCTGAGATGGGCGACCAGAGCCCAAAGACAAAAAGGACATGGGAAATTTACAACATACTAGGTGAACATGAGGCAAAGATGCAACAACTTGAAGCAGAGGGAGTTACCAAAAGCGACACCAAAGAAGAAGAGTAGAACAAAGTGAAAGTAGTGAAGAAGTAACTTCATCTAGTGAAAGTAGTGGCAATGAAGGAAAAAGAAGAGTTAAAAACTCAGTCAGGAAGAAAGTAAAGCTTGGTACGAGTGGGTTCTATTATGACATATAAATCCAACCATTCTATATTTTTACCCATATGAAATGTACGCCGCTCAGAATATAACGCCAACAGTTTTGGATGCCATGAACGGAAATGTTTCCGAATGGTATAACGAATGCGACAATGCCATTAGAAGGTCAGAAATAGTTCCTGGAACTTACGAATATACAACTGCTGTTTCTTATGGAAACGTAGGTGAGTTTGGAGAAGGTTCTTCAACAACAGTAGATATTGCTTGCGACAGGTTTCATATTATTTCTATTGACAACTCATTCTTATACGTGGAACAAGACATTGAAATAAAACCTTCTGCCAAGTTGTCTGACAAGAAAGGTTGCAATGGAATTTTCTATGTCGGATACCAATATGCTCCAGAAGTTTTCATGGGATATAAGATATATTCTAACTCTGACTTAGTTCAAACAGTAACATGGGCAAACTATGAATGGTTCGCTTTGAGAAACTCAGTACAACCACAAGCTAGAGAACAAACAGACCAGTATGCAAACTATTGAGAAAATAAGAAGACTTGACCCTAACGTTCCAGGAGTTTATGTTAACCTTTCTGGACAAACTGCAGCAGCAGTAACCAAAGTAAAACTGAAACTTAGAGTTCCTTTGTCATCTTTCCTCATCTTTAGGTTCTTAAGATACTTGCCAAACTGGCAGGAAAATTTCTATCGAACTTACTCCAAGCAAAAATAACTTAGTCATTGCACCAACACAAGACCCATTCAGCTTACTGTAGCTGGAACTGGTGGAGCCAAGTTCTGTGACTTTTTGCAAAGACAAAGTTGACTTAGACTTTGGTTTCTCAAACCTCAACACTGAAGTAAGCTATTATTTCAATGCTGCTGGAGATGCTTGGGACCCAGTTAAGTTCACATGCGAAAAATTTGAATGCAAGAGAATAGAAAGCAGACTTGCAGTCTATATGTTGGACCCAGATATTTCAAATGCTTTAGCTGCCAAATATATTGCAGTTCCACTTATGTTCCCTATACACCAAATATCTGTCAAAGACTTTGCAGGTGAAGTTGGAAACCAAAGTGCTGACCCAGGGCAAGAACAGATATTGCTTTAACAACTGCAATGAAACATGCAGATACTATGTTTGTACTGTTCAGACGAACTATAAATGACTATTCTTGTTTCTACAACCCTGGTATTAAATATCATATAAACATAGATGGCAAATATTATCCAAGAGAAGAATATTCTACAGTTGAGGATATGAGGTCATACAACTTGACATTAGATGCTATGAACTTTAACAACAACTTCACAACAACTATTAACCCTGAAATGCAAAGTTCTATTATGCCATATGTGAAAGTATGGACTCATACAGGAGGTCAAAAAACTCAATATACAAATGGAGACCGTTCAAACTTTTGGCTTGGCATTCCATTTGCTGACTCAGAAGACTTTATGGGTGGTATTTCAACTGTTGGTACAGTTCAAATACAATATACTGGTGACAGAGACGGTCCAGATGAATTGAAAGCAAAGAAGTTTACAAAACCAATAGCACTTTTCACGGAAGATGCTCTTTTGAAGATTCGTTCGATGAAACCTGCTGGGGCTCCTCAGATTGGCATAACGACAGCTTCCATCGAGCAGATTTTGGCAGCAGGTCAGTAAGTTGTTCTTGAACTGACTTCTCTCCGTCAAATATTGACAGTACGCCAGTTTTGACATAATATTGTATTATAAACTTTCCTTTAGTAATATCGGTCAGTTTTGAAGTTATATTTTTGTCAACGTCAAGAACTTTCACCATCTCGGTTATACCAACTTTCTTTGCTTTATGAAAATATTTAGGTTCAGCAAAGACTGCTATTCTATAACATTTTCCATTGTTTGTGTAAAGAACTATTCTGTCAATGTATTTGTATTGTTTGTGAGTATAAACCTTGTTTTGCTTCAATTCGAAGAGATATCCGAATACGTCCATCTTTTTATTCTAAATAAAATGTCATTTCCGAAAAATAGAAGCGTAAGTGTTTCAAAAGGTTTAATGGCGGTGGCAGATGTGAAGTTAAATTCACCAACTCAAACAAACAGTCAAAGTGTTATTGTCAATGTCAAAGACAGAGATGTTGAAATGGGGAAACCATACGAAGACGAAGATGGTATAACAATTGTTCCTGTAAAAGAACCAACATATCCTGAAGTTAGCAGAGACTTAAGTTCTGTTGCAGATATTCGAAACGACTACCAACAACTGAAAGACAAACTTCAAACTCAGGAGAAGATTTGTCAAGCTTTAAGTATAATGTTAAACTTGGTCGAACACAACCCTGTAAAAGTGAACTCATATGTCATTGCACCTCATGAAATTTTGAAAGAACTATTGAAACTTTTGACAGAGGCAGACGATATAAACATCAAAGAAATAGAACCCGACATTAGTTGCTGTGGTGTTTCATATAATGCCATTGACAAGATATACGTTATGAAAGGAGGTGAAACGTTGAACTTAAAATATAGTTTCCCAGACGTTATAAAAATATTTGACGACCACAACATTTCATTAAAGTTTATTTGCTAAGTAAATGGCAGAAGACATAATGGTTTATACTATTACGACTAAAAACCCTGAGTCATATAATTCTATAACAACAAACTTACAAAGTCCTCAAGGACGATATTGTAAACTAACCTTAAACATAATGACGACTAAAGCCTGTTTTGCTCTTTTGACACCAGAAGACTTTATTGTTGTGAATGGTAAAAAATACTCCTTTGCAGATACTTACTCAGATATACCACCAACAGGTTTTGTTGACTTATTTAATACTTTAAGTACGGGTGTAACATGTGCTGCAACTAGAGCAGGTTTCATTATGTTTGGATGTCCGACTGAGTTTACTATAAACGATATGAGCTATAATACAAAACTTATATCTGGTTTTTACTACCAACAGTTTCCTATAACAGGAAAAGGTGTCATACAAGGAATGTCTATTCCATTGACATTAAGCACACCAATCTTATATATTGTTTCAAACTTAGGTTCAAAGTGTTATTCGAATGTCGACAGAAACTATTATGACCAAAAGATACTTATGCGTATAAACAATACTTTCTCTGCTGGTTTGCCTATTGTTCATTCGAATGCAGAATTTTCAACCTTAGTGAACTCAAACACTTTGGCAAGTATAACATTGACATTAGTTGACGCAAACTTTGTTCCTGTAAAACTTTTATGTCCTATGTATTTGTCAATGACGGCAGAAAGTTTCGAATTGGAAGATGCAACTGGTGAAAGTATTGTATTACAAGAACAACTTCAACAACAAATAGCTCAAGAACAACAAATGCAACAAATGGAACAACAAAGTCAAGAATAAAAAAATAATATTTTTTTTATTTTTATAAAAATGTACAGAATAGATGTTTCAGATTTTTATGACTTCCAAGCATTCAGAAATATGTGTCCATTTAGAGACTATAACAAAGCAGTCGAGAATTTGAAACGTTTAGTCATTTATGTTGACTCTGCCCCAGAATGTTATGTCATGAAAGAATGGGATGTTGTCTTTAACAAACCAAGAGCAACAATAGTGTCTGAACAAGAATGTAGACAGAAACTTAAGAAAATAAAAGTCGTACAAGTTGGAATGAAGATGTTAGATGCTTGGGATATCTTATTGTCAAAATTAGAAGATTTTTCAGTTCGTGGTATAAAGTTTTATACACCTTCTCCAAACTTCTATTCTATCTTCACTGGATATAAATACGAACAAGTAGAATGGAAAGAAAATATTATAGAAGCTTGGTTAGACCATGTCAAAGAAATTATATGCAATGGAAACGAAAAGGTTTATGAGTATATCTTATGTTGGTTTGCAAACATCTTACAACATCCAAGTGCTAAAAATGAAACTGCTCTCATTATAATTGGAAAACAAGGAACTGGTAAGAATACTTTCTTTACAGATATCTTATGCAAACTATTAGAAGGTTATTCGAACCCTAATATGACAAACTTAGAAAACATCTGCGGTAAATTTAACTCCTCAATAGAGAATATGAAACTTATAGTTTGCAATGAACTTCAAAGTATAGATACAACAAAAGTTTTGAACTCAGATGCTTTGAAGAGTCTTATAACAGACAAAGTTGGAGTTGTTGAAAGAAAGTATAAAGACCAAAGAGTTTGTGAGAATGTTGCAAACTTCATTATGGTTTCAAACAATGCTGTTCCGATGAAGTTAGAAAGTTCTGACAGAAGATATGTAGTTGTCAGAACGTCAGAAGCTCATATGCAAGATACAGAATATTTTTGACGACTTAGCAGAAACTTTGACATCTGACTTTTACAACCACTTGTTCTCATATTTCATGACATTAGATATTTCTAAGTTCAATCCAAGACAAATTCCACATACCGAAGAGAGACAAACATTGTTAGAAGCAAACAAGAGTGTATATGAACTGTTCATAGATGAAACTGACTTTGTGTCATTAGATGAAAGGTCATTGTACGATTCGTATAAACAATATTGCCAAGAATATGGTTATATGACAGCTTCTAAACGAACATTCTTGGCAAATGTCAAAAGTCTTTTAGATGTTCAGAATGGTGTATATACAAAGAAAAATTTTTCTGAGTAAATTTTAAAAAAAAAATATTTTTTTATCCGATAGAAAAGATGACAAAATTCATCTCAGTAAACAAGTACATGTCAGGACTTAAAGAAGAACTAGACCCATTCACATATTTGAATGTTTACTTCTACCATTTTGAAAAGTCTTCATTCAGCAAAGTTTGGAACATCGAACCAGTTAAGTTTGCTATTGTGACTAAAAATGGTGCGAAATTTGAAGACTTAGACATAGAAGGTTTGTTAACAGTCAAAGAAAGTTTTGACAGAAGGTTCTCAAACCTTAAAGAAGGCAAAGCATACAAACTTGTTATACCTTATGAACCAAAGAAAGCAGACGACTATGAATATTATGAGTCTAAAGTTGTAGAAGTTCAAGGTAAATTGGGTAAAAAGATTTTAGAGTCTAAGCCAGTGTTTACTCCTAAAGAGGAAGAGAACATTGACATTGACCCAGAAATGTTCTAAAAATAAAATTTTATTTTTACATGTCAAATTTCTTTTTCTCTGGAACTGGTTCAGGTTCTTTCTTCTCTTCTTCTACTTTCTTTTCTCTCTTCTTCTTTTCTGGTGGAGTTATGTCAGATTTGGCGCAACCATATTTATGTAAAAGTTCTTTGTCCTTTAATAGCTCATCTATTCTGTTTTCTATTTCATCTTCAAGAACAGCGCATGTGTCTTCTTTGCATTCTAAGAACTTTTGTTGGACTTCATCTTTCCAATCGGCGTCATCTCTGTCAACAAGTCTGTCATTGACAAATTTTAAGACTGCTCTGCTTAATGTTTTATGGTTCTTGTCATATTCCCAGAAACAGAACTTTAGAACAAATTCACCTTTCTTGTTTACACTATGTAAGATTTTATGGTCGACAGATGTTTTGCTGTCGAAAAGCTTGTCTCGAATATAGATAGCGAAATCGCTAGACATTTTCTAAAAGATAAAAATTTTAATTTTTCTAAAAATATGTTAGAAAAAAAGTTTGCTGACATTGACAAGAAATTTGAGAATGTTTTAAACAAGAACAAGAGGAAGTTAGAAAATGCTCAGATAAAGCCTATACATGACAAGTTCTTATTTGCTCAGAATGGTATAACAGGTCTAATTGCACCACCTGGGTCGGGTAAGACTTTCACTTATCTTAAAATGGCTGCACAACAACAAGAACTAGATGAGAAGAACCCATTCTATGAGTTAGTTGTTATTTGTAGTACTTCTGGTCAATTTGACCAAACCGTCAATTCGTTCAAAGATATTATAAAGAAGTCTAAGTTAGTATGTATAAAGGATACTGAGTTGTTGGATTGGATAAAGAAGTACCAAAGAAGAGTTTTGAAGTATAATGCTATAAATGAGTATATAAATTCTAAGTTTAAAGACCCAAATGAGGAAATGCAGAGAATATTAGAGAAGAAACACTTCAGAAACAAACAGAAAGAGATAGAATACATTTCGAAGAAATTGCAATCTTACGATTGGAAGACTTACCCTCATAGATGTCTTCTTATTTTAGATGATTTCGCCTCTCATCCTTTGTTAAAGAACAGAGAACAAGACATGTGTCGAATTCTTAAGAAGCTCAGACACTTTCACATCTCAGTCGTAATATGTGTACAGACAGCCAAGAGTTTAAGTAAGGATGTTAAAAGAATACTTACTGACATTATACTTTTCCCCGGATTGTCCGAAGACGATTTCATGGAACTTATGAAAGAGTCCATGGCAGGTAAGTTTGACAGACATGAACTATGGGAGAAGTACAAAGTCATACAAGACCCTCATACTTCTTTCAGAATTCATATCTACGCAAACAAAGTTCAAATTGTAAAAAGTCAAGCTTGAAAAATAAAGAGTTCATTTACTCTGCTTGTTTGAAGTTGTCAAAATACTCTGTTATTTTTTCTTTCAGTAGCGGTAAGTCTTCTTTGAAGGTAAGTATTGTACAACCTTTCATATCATAGTGTGTTTGAGGTAACGTATCTTGAACTATTTGTTTCACATCTTCATTTGGGGTCATTGAAATCGGTAAGTTTTCGCGATAGAACCAATTTCTGTCAGATTTGTAAATATTAGCAAGGTCGTAAAAGCTCTTGTTGTTTCTTCTGACTAAATGCAACATAACCATATCTTTATCTTCTTCATTTTCCATCTCTTCAGTATAAATCATATACTTATAGTTCTTTTCCTTTCCTTTTGGTACCGAACGTGGTATTCTTTTCTGAATGCTTTTGTCTTTTGCTTCAAGCTTGTTTTCCATCTCTTCACGTTCTTGTCTATGAATTTCGTCAAGAAGTCTGTAAATATACCAAGCATAACGAGGCGAAGCCCACGTTGCAACAGCATTTACAAGAAGTCTATGTACATAATATCCTCTCAAACCGTTTGGCAATTTTTCACGATTTTCATAGAGTTTTGGCGACTGAGGTTTTTTACCTACTCGCTGTTCTTCACTGTTTTCATAGAGTTTTGGCGACTGAGGTTTTTTACTTACTCGCTGTTCTTCACTGTTTTCAGAAAAAAGTATGTCTCGCTGTGCTTCGATCAAAAGTTCTTGTGTGCTTTGGTTCCTAAACCAGTCTTTAGGAAGCTTAGTATCTGGAGCAAAACATGCTGTCAAAATACTTTGCATTTGGTACATATCGTCTTTGACTGAACGAATGAGACGGAGTTGTTTGTTAAACTGAACCCACTCATATTCTTCATTTATAGCTTCATGGACTATAACTGTTGTTGTGTTCTCTGTTGTTGACATTACTGTCTTTACATACAAAATAAAAAAATTTGTTAGAAAAAAATTAGCGTTATTTTCTGACTTTCACAAAAGACCAAAAATAAACGCTTTACATGTATTTTTCAGCAACTTCGTCAAATAATTTTATAGCTTTATCTATCTCATCTACTTCAAACGTTTCTTTACCTTTCATGGGAGCACCATACATTTTCTCAAACTTTTCAAGTAGTTCTGTTTCTGCAGCTCTCATATCATTAACAAACACAACCTTGACTCTATTGACTGTACTGTCATATCTTTGAGTTATATTATATGTCCTTCCTATCTTATATCTTTTTGTATTGAAGTCCTTCGGTTTCTGAACGATGTAAAGTAAGCCTTCACTGCAACGTTCCGTATCGAATGAACCATATGTTATGAAGTTATATCCAACAACTGGGTCTAACCATAACAAAACTATTGGTATAAGACTTTTGTCTATAAGATATGCTGTGGTTCCATAGAATCTTACCGATATCATGAGCTCAGGATTTCTTGTCAAAATTTTCTGAGTAGAAGCAATTCTAACCCAGTCGTTTGTTTTCTTTTCAGATGGAGATAAAATGTCTGACAAAGAATATTTGTTGTATTTCTTTGAGTATCTTACGTTTAAATCACCTATTCTAACCAATTTGGTGTCATTGTCTATCTTTCTAACTGTTTCAAACTCATTGTTTGACATATCTGTCTTTACATACAAAATAAAAAAATAAATAAAAATAAAATTAGCGTTATTTTTTCTATCTTAAGGAAATTCACGATTTTCATACGGAATCTCTTCTCTCGGTTTTCCGAGGGAAGCAAGCATATGCCCTAAAAATTATTTTACTCAGAATTTTGTTGCTGAATTCAGCAAAAATAATGTTTAGGGTAGAAGGTTAGATCTCACCCGTTTTCTCACCTGTTTTCTCACCTCATGAATTTTCATGATTTCATCGTACATGTTTTGTCAAGACTTCTTCGTACATGTTTTGTCAAGACTTCTTCGTAAATGTTTTGTCAAGACTTCTTCGTAAATGTTTTGTCAAGACTTCTTCGTAATGAGCGTAAATCAGACAAAAATATATTTTAGGTGAAGAGGTGAGATCTCACCCGTTTTCTCACCCGTTTTCTCACCTGTTTTCTCACCCGTTTTCTCACCTGTTTTTTCACCTAATTTTTCACCCCAGTTATTTTATAAGCGTTTTACATGGTAAACGTTATTTTTTAAATTTTGTGAAAACTCAACGGTTTGACACATGCCCTAAAAATTATTTTACTCAGAATTTTGTTGCTGAATTCAATAAAAATATATTTTAGGGTAGATGGTTAGATCTCACCCGTTTTCTCACCTGTTTTTTCACCCTAGTTATTTTATAAGCGTTTTACATGAATTGTACGATGTATATTTGAAATCCTAAACAGTTTTGTAGCTTCTATTTCTTCTTTTAGTACATCGAATGTTTTAACAATGCCGAAAGTTTCTTTATACTTCTTCTTGACGTCAGATAGAAGGAAATCTTCTGCTGTTGGATAGTTTTTGTTCAGAAATTCTAACATGTCCATTTTATTTTCTGCTGGCTTTTCTGCTTCTTTCTTTAAGTCTGCATAGTCGTTTCTCATACGTTCTATCTCTTTGACGGAGTAGTTATATCTCCTCATTGCTGCTTTACATTTTGAACATTGCGGATTCATTTTTGCGTTATACATTGAAATAAAACCAGCTAGAACAACTAAGGCGTCAATGGTTTTCTTTAACTCAAAAGCTGCTGGTTTAAACTGTTCATGCCATACCTTACCTCTTCTATCTTTATCTCTTATTTCCCAAACACATTTTGCAACTAACGAAACAAAGTTGTCGTAGGTCTTAAACTCTTCAGATTTATATATGTCAGAAACATTCTTATATAACATGTCGCAATCTTTGTCCATAACTTTATGGTTGCAATGAAAACCAAGGAATTCATAATTTACCTTTCGTATGAACTTCTTTATTTCTACTGAGTCAGTTGGTTTCACTTCTATTTCGTCGAATTCAGGAATAGTGAGTTTTTGTTGTTGGATTTCAGGTAGTTTAGGCAAATGGTCAATAATGTCCTGCATTTCATAAAGATACTGTTCATTTTCTTCATCCTGTGCGGTACAGTCTAAATTACTTGTTAACAGTTCTTGCTTTATCTTCTGGATTTTTGTTTCGAAAGTATATGAAGAAGGAATGAAGTTTTTCATTTCTACTAACATTGACGTAGGATTCATAACTAACGAGTTTGGTGCTGTAGTTGTTTGTATTGCTGTTGTGCCGATTGTTGAAATCATATCTTTTATACAAAATAAAAAAAATAAATAAAATAAAACTAACTTTATTTTTTATTTCGGGAAAATTCATGAAAATTCAAGAGGTGAGAAAACAGGTGAGATCTAACCATCTACCCGACATTCTCGTCAAATACAAAAAAATGAAGAATAAATAAAATAAAACTAACTTTATTTTTTCTATCTTAAGGAAATTCATGAAAATTCAAGAGGTGAGAAAACAGGTGAGAAAACAGGTGAGATCTCACCACTTCACCTAAACATTATTTTGGGTCATTTACGCTCATTACGATGAAGTTTCGACAAAACATTTACGTTCATGTTTGACAAAACATTTACGATGAAATCATGAAAATTCAAGAGGTGAGAAAACAGGTGAGATCTCACCACTTCACCTAAACATTATTTTTGGGTCATTTACGCTCATTACGATGAAGTTTCGACAAAACATTTACGATGAAATCATGAAAATTCATGAGGTGAGAAAACAGGTGAGAAAACAGGTGAGATCTCACCACTTCACCTAAACATTATTTTTGGGTCATTTACGCTCATTACGAAGAAGTCTTGACAAAACATTTACGTTCATGTTTGACAAAGCATTTACGATGAAATCATGAAAATTCAAGAGGTGAGAAAACAGGTGAGAAAACAGGTCAGATCTCACCACTTCACCTAAACATTATTTTTGGGTCATTTACGCTCATTACGATGAAGTTTCGACAAAACATTTACGATGAAATCATGAAAATTCAAGAGGTGAGAAAACAGGTGAGAAAACAGGTGAGATCTCACCACTTCACCTAAACATTATTTTTGGGTCATTTACGCTCATTACGATGAAGTTTCGACAAAACATTTACGTTCATGTTTGACAAAACATGTACGTTCATGTTTGACAAAGCATATACGAAGAAGTCTTGACAAAACATTTACGATGAAATCATGAAAATTCATGAGGTGAGAAAACAGGTGAGAAAATGGGTTAGATCTAACCTCTTCACCTAAAATATATTTTTTGGTCCGGGAACAACTTTCTCTCAATTGGAGCTGTAGCATACTCTTTGCGTAAACGGTTCAGACCTTCTTCGAAGTCTTGGTCTCTCTTCGATTTGGATTGAGATTGGAATTGGAATTGCTGGGGTAGAGCTTGCTGGAACAACCAAGGGTTGGGGAAGTAAGGCATAGGCTGAGGAGGGTAGTTCGGGAAGCCTTGTGGTAGGTAGTAACCTTGAGGTGGAAATTGGTAGTAATTTGGTGGAGGTACTTGCTGGAACTGAGGTTGCTGAGGAGACTGTTGTGGTTCTTTCGGTTCTTCTGGTTTGGGAATGGACTCGGTTGGTGGGACGTCGGACATTCGTTTGTGGCTTAACCGTCGGACCACAACGATAAAAATCTCTGCTACTAGCAGTACTTTTACTGACAGTAGCAGTACTTTTACTGACAGTAGCAGTACTTTTTCTGACAGTAGCAGTACTTTTTCTGACAGTAGCAGTACTTTTACTGACAGTAGCAGTACTTTATCGTCGAAAACCCTCTCAAATTTTCCTTTTTACTGACAGTAGCAGTACTTTTACTGACAGTAGCAGTACTTTTACTGACAGTAGCAGTACTTTTACTGACAGTAGCAGTACTTTTTCTGACAGTAGCAGTACTTTTTCTGACAGTAGCAATGGACAACATCGAGCCATTAGATGAGGCAGTTTACCTAATTTAAATTAACGAGCTTGTTAAAGACTACTTGCGCAAGGTCATGAAGCCCAAGGTCAAGTTCACCACTATTTCTGGAAGGGCTGCCTTGAATCTCGAGACTTCGACTGGAATTCCAATTCAAATACCAGAAGGCACTCCTTTCGACGACATAAAGCAAGCAAAGAAGGAAGCCATTATAAAGTTCTTTGCAAAGCGCCCATGGATACAACTTCCAAACAGAGAGAGTCCAATTCCACGAATTATACAAATTCTCAGAGCACTGTTCCACTTCTCGGGTCAGCCGTTCTACATAACCTCAGAAGGCGACATCCAGCCAGTTCAGTAAACATCTCATTTTAACTCACTTTTTTAATGTTTTTTGTGAAAGTGTCAAAAATAATTTTTTTATTTCATGCAATGTTTTATTTCTGTGCCGTCTTCAAGTATGCCCCAATATTTCCTTTTCGATATTACATGAACTTCGGAAAATACCTTATCTAGCTTAAAACAGCCCATCTTTTCACCGACCATTCCCATTTCAATGAGTTTGTTGTATCCTTCTTCGTTCGTCATGAGTGCGTCAATGTTCTCATAGTAAACCACAACTTTGGATTTGTTGTAGTTGTCAAGGACTGCTTTTGCGAACTGAGGGTAAGACCAATGTTCGACAATAGGTTTTAATGTGGTTACTAAGCCACTTTGACCTTGAGTGAATTCGTACTTCAAAACAAAAGGAGAAAACCTTTCAACAAAGTTGTCGAACTTCTCATAATGTTTACTCTTCATCTCTTGAGGTTTCTTAATGGAATATCCCATGTCGAATTCATAAGCAATTTGAGTGTCATTGCAAGTTTGGGGTTTGAAGCTTTCCTAATATCATACAGTTGTTGTATGACTTTTCCAACTGTATAGTTCCTTCCCGGGAACTCACCATCTTCGTTTGGAATTCCAGTCGGAAATATATTGGACAAACCTCATGTATGCAGCGTTAAGGTCGACATAGTATATCTTTTCGTTTGAGTCGAACTTGTCGCAACCAATTGGTCCAGTTTGTGGAAATTCAAGTGAGTCTCTTATCTTCTGAGAAACTTCTCCTGTTATCTCATAAACATCGTCGAAGCAACCTGTTTCATATAAAAACCTTCTGACCTAACTCAGATGCTCTCCAATACAATTTGACGTCAATTGGATGTCTCAATGGAAGTTTGTTTATAGCATCTTGAAGTTCTTGCAACCTCATTGGAAGTTCTTCTGGTTCAGGTTGGTATCCGAACAATCCAACTCCTTGTGGAATTGTGTACTTCTTTTGTACTAGAACTTTGTCTGGAACAACTTTTGGTCTTGCTAACAATGAAAAGTTTGTTTCGTCTTTTGGTACAAAAGTTTCTGCCAGCTTGTCATCTGGAATTGGTTCCAACAAACCTTTCTCGAAAAAGAATGTTTACAGCTCTGACAATGTTGCACTTGCCTTTTCCGAACAATGGTTTGTAAGACTTTCGTTCAACATGAAGTGGTTTGTGGACAATTACAATCTTCAACCATGGTAAATTGAACTCAACAACATAGTCGTCATGTGAAGAACCTTTAGCTGTAGGTATGTTGACTCGGATATTGACATTTGCCAACGGTGCAATTTTTGCCAATTGACCTCTGAGAATGTACCTTGTCTTCACACATGACTCAAGATACTTCATCTTCTCATCTGTAACAAGACCAGAGTTCCTGAGACATGTAAGAATACAAGGTTCATTGACAATTGTTTCAATTGAATTGTAAAATTCCATACCTTGTCAAGTCAATGTCAGACTTATTTATGAAGGGGAAGTATCCAGCATGTTGTCTGACTGCTTGAGGGTTAGGTTGGTACCATTCGAACTTGACACTTGCAATTCCTTCAATTGCATTCAAAATGTCGTGAGTCGGAGTCAACCATTTGTTCTCTCTTTGTAGTCTTGAAAAGCGTCAAGAAGTTTTGCGGCTGTTGTGACATTGCCATGTGCATAGTAAATGTGACCATCCAAATCTGTTATGGTCAATCTGAGATTGTGTCCTTTCTTATTTCCGTCTTGAATTGCAGCAAGTACTCCCATGAAGCCTTCTTTGTTCTTTCCTTCGTCAAAGTTTACTGTAAAGGTTCGACCAGATGTAATTTGACTTCTAACTTCACGATACTTTTCATATGCATATCTTGTTCTTTCCATGGGAGCATGACCATCCTCTGCACTACCTTTTTTCCTTCTCAAAGGATGCAATTGTTCGTCATGTTTCCAGTAGAATCTGGCAAAGCCGTCGTGTCCTTCAACTTGAGGTTCACTAACATCGAAAGGCATGTTCATAAGACGTTCTTCTTCTAACCTCTCTAGTCTGTTTGGATAATTGGCACGTGCTGTTTCCAAATCCATTTCGTAGCGAAGACCAGACAATTTGTCATAGACTTTATGGGTCTTCCCTTCCTATATTTAAAATTCTTCGAAACTCTCCAACCATATCCTTGTAACTCTGCTTTTATTCTAGCAGACTTTCTATCCATTCTATATGGGGGCATTTTTATAAAAAATAAAAAATATTTTTTTCTTTACTTTACATAACCGCCTGCTGCCATAAGTCTTTGACGCCAACCCATACCAGCTAATGAAGGTTGACTTGGTTTAGTTTGGAAACTAAACTTTGGTTTTGGTTTATCTTCAGTTTTTGGTTTTTCTTCTTCTATCGGTTTTTCGTCACTTTTCGGTTCCTCTGACTTTACCTCACCTGCAGGAACAGTTGTGTCGTCAACATCTTCATAAATATCATATGCCATTTGTTTTTGTTTTCCTTTCAACTTTTTGTGTTTGTTGTAAAGTTTAGAATATTTCGACTCTAAGTCAATGAGATGTTCTATAATGAACTGTTGGTCAGTGAAGTAAACTTTTCCATCTGTTGTCTCGAAAGCTCCTTCAGACTTCAATATTTATTTGTGAGAGTCTGTTTCTTTTTTGAGATACTAGCCGTTCCATTTTTATGAAAAGTGACTTTATAGTTAGGGTTTGTATTTCCAGACCTGGCACTTTCTATTATTGAATTTTTCTCTTCATCTGTAAGTTCTTTGACAGGTTTTGACAATGGTTCTGAACTTTTTGTTTGTGGTGTCAAATCTACCGTTTCAACTTCTTCGGTCATTTCATCTCAGTAAAAAATTTTAGTTTGGTTTGTTTTCAACTGGTTGTTTAGGTTTTTTAAGTCGGTCTAAAACTTCCTGAGGTATAGGAAGAACTTGACAAACACGTGGTGTAACTGCTGGAAGTCGACAAATCCATCTTGAACCCATTTGTCTCAATGCTATATTGTTCATTTCATCTCAGTAAAAAATTTTACATTCCCCAAGTTTGAGGTGGTTGCGGTTGGTTATTGTTTACCCATTGTTGTGCATGGTTATATCCTCTGTTAAAGAATCTTTCACCTTGGTCCATATAGTGTCCGCTTGGTTATAGTAGTCATTTGCTTTGTTATAATAGTTTCCTGCTTGTCTTCCTACATTGTCCATCCATCCTTGAACTTTTCCTCTTGTTTCAGGATTTGGAATAAGATTTGTTGCATCTCGTGCTACATCCCAACCTTTCTGTACAGTTTGTATAATAGGTTGTGCTTTCTCTTTCAGTATACCTAATGTACTCAAAATCTTCCTTCCAACTCCAAATACACCTCTGGCTATTGTTCCCACTGCGGGTAAAAATCTGGATGCAACTCCTGCTAATGCGCCAAATAAACCCATTTCTTATGGGTTAAAAAATGACGAATCCGAACAAGGACCCCTATGTTTCTAAAGCGACAAAGAAAGCACTCATGATAAAAATTTTTAGTTCAACACCAAATGCTTGGTTTATGGATATCTTGGAAAATATTCCGAGGTATAGAGAAGATGGACCTCCATACTGGTTAATATTTGTTGGTCAAAACACAAGATACTGTGAAGCCATACCATTATGGTCCAAAAATATTTTAGATGTGAAAACTGCTTTGACAATATTCGTTGACAAATACCATCCAACAAAACTGACATCTGACTGTGAAAGTTCTTTCAAATCAGATGATATTAAAAACTATCTGCGTTCAAAAAATGTAAACCAATATTTCATTGTCGACCAAAACCATTCTGCTCTTGGTGTCATTGACGGTTGTATAAAAATGTTAAGAGACTTAAACCAACCACAAGGTGGTGAAGCAAATGAAATGTCATATGACGACAAGTATAGACACTTCTCCATGGCAAAGATGAGACAAGTTTTAAATATTTACAATAACCGTAAACAAAAAGGTTTGGGAAACCACTCCCCCGAAGAAATGAAAAACAACCCCGACTTAGAGAAAGACTATATATTTAATAATTTAGTCAAAAGAGACAAACAAGAAAGAATGCCGGGCTTCAAACTTCAGAAAGGTGACAAAGTAAAAATAGAAATACCTAAACGCGACCCATATGAAAATACTATTGACTATGACAACAATGGGAACCCGACAGGTACTCACATTCGTGTTCGTAAAAATAGAAGAAAGTATACAAGAGAATATTATGAAGTTTTAGGCAAACATGGCAAAATGTACACACTGCAAGCAGAAGATAAAACTACTATTGCCAGACCTCGTTTCAAACTTGTCAAAGTTCAAGGTGGTATACTTTCAAAGACAGTTCCTAACAAATATAAGACAACTCCTGACGAATATGCTAAAGAAGTTGAAAATGACGACTAAGCAATTCTATACCATGCGTAAACTGTCATGTAAGGTGGCATGTATTCTTTACTTTGTCCCGTTGTTTGCGTATATCCTGAAACGAAATGTGTATGGTTTCCTTCTCCCTGCGTGTCATCCCAGTAACAATTTATAGCAAACTTAACGTCGTCTTTAACATCATATCCTTTACCTTTTGTCATTCCTGTCCAACCCCAATATCTATGCTTATGCCAACCTGCTTGAGATGTACTTAAATCTATGTAGTGACTGTGTGCAGGTAAATTTTCACCTGAAATCGTTTTACTTCCACCTGTTTCCTTTGAAGAGTTTGCACAATACAAAAACCTGTCGACTATTTGTTCCCATGCACCAACACCAAACATTACTTGAGGACCTCTTGCTTCCATAGATGTATAAATAGAACCTACTGGGTTCATTAAATCAAACATATGAGATATTATAGGATTGTCTCTTTTGAACTTAAAATATAGTGCAACTATTTCAGGTTTCTTCTGGTTTAGGTCAGAATATTTTTTATAATATAATCTTATGTTTTCAGGGTAGGTAAAATCTTGACTATAATATTTATTTATGTCATCTGTATAATAATATACTATTCTCGTTTTTTCTATTGCATTATATCTTTTATATCTATAATAATCTAAATATAATGTTAGCTTTTGTTCATCTACATGTGGTGTTCTGACGTCATCTCCATAGTCATAATAATATGGTGCTGGAGCTGGGTTAGGCAATGTCATATCTGTCATTTCATAAACTCTTAAATATTTCTTTTGTTCGTCTCCATATAAGTTTAAGTAGCAGTTGTTGTGTAATGGAACTTTAACTTGTGTACCATCATTCTTTTTATAGCTTACATACATTTCATTGTTATTTTTCGGAATGAGTTTATACCGTGTACCATTTTCTAAGGACTGTACCAACTGCCATCTAAAATATTTATTTTCTTCATTGACAGAAAAGTCACCAACAATAGTTTCAATATTTTTTGTTCCTATCAAACTTTGGTATATTTCATTGACATATGTTTTATCTGCTTTATTTTCAAGGCTAACGTTTAAGTCTGTTATTTCAGAAGATGTATGTGTATGTCCAACGGCACTTTTCTTGTTTAAGGTTTCTTGTAAGTTTGTAATATTTGCAATGGTATGTGTATGTCCAACGTCACTTTTCCTGTTTAAGGTTTCTTGTAAGTTTGCAATATTTGCAATGGTATGTGTATGTCCAATGTCACTTTTCCTGTTTAAGGTTTCTTGTAAGTTTGTAATATTTGCAATGGTATGTGTATGTCCAACGTCACTTTTCCTGTTTAAGGTTTCTTGTAAGTTTGTAATATCAGATATAGAATGTGTATGAGTCTTATCTGCTTTTGTCTCTAATGTTTCCTTAAGACTTGGTATTTGGTTAATATAATGTATATGAGTCTTTTTAGAATATTCGTTTTCAGCTCTTGTCACTTCACTTGACATTTTATTGTCAACATATGTTTTGTCTGCTAGTTCAGGATGAGTATGTTCTTTTGTTGCATAAGCATTGTTAGCTCTTTCTTCTTCTTTTGCTATTGCATCGTCTACATATTCTTTGTCAGCTTTGTTGTCAACATCTGCTTTCAAAAGAAGTTCATTTATAGGTTTCTCGTTTAAAGTTCCTTTTGTTGGATTTATACAGACAGTATTGTTCTTATTGTCTTGAAATAGAAACTCATCTGTTAAAGGGTTTAATGTCAGTTTTAAGTTTCCTTCTTTCAATGACTCAGATATCTTAGAATAGTTTGAAAAGTTTGTTGTGTTCTTATTTAGAGCTTGCATAATGAGTTGTCGGTTGTGTTGTATTTCTCTCATAGACGCTGTTTCATTTGACATTTTTATTATAGATAAAATATGCTTCCAATAGAAAAAGAAAATTCAAGAGTTGCTACAACTAAACCATTAGATGAACTTTTTACTAATGTCGGTCAAAAGTTTGAGACAGAGACCGTAAAGCATGAAGGCTATCGTTTTGACTACCCATTAAGATGGCTAAGAGACCCATCTGTCACAAAAGCTATTGGCTTTCGTAGAATGAAGTTCATTTCAGAAGCCATACATGGTTTCCCATTTACGGTCGGTTTTGAAGTTCGATACTATAACAAAGAAAAACGTACGTATGAGAAATTTGAACAGGGAAAACTTTTACAAGTTAGTTTGCTTATAAACTTAGAAACAACTCTTCAAGCTTTTCAAGAAAAATAAACGATATCTATATCGAATATGCAAACCAGTATAACATTGACGAAGGAGAATACCATCTCGATATTATTTATGACAGGAAAAATGCAACTGTTAAAATCAATAAAATAGAAGACCTTGGAGAAAACGTTTATATTTCTACAAAATATAACAACTTGGCATGGTATAGATTTATGAGGATGTTAAATCAGCCTGCAGAATATCCAGTACACCCGGACTATTATGAAGTCGAAAACCCTAATGGAACATATGAAAATGTTTTCGACCAAGATGCTATTATTGTTCATGCTTCATTTTCTGGCGCCCAAAACTCTTTCTTATGCTTGGCAAATGACTTTTACGAAAAACCTACAAAGTTATACGAACCACCAAGTGGAAGTATTTCAGACTTTCAAGTATGGTTTACTACAGATGGAAGAAAAAGAATAATTCCATTATACCATGCGTTTTACTTAGAACTTAGTTTCATATACAACTACTATCGAACGGTAAAAATATAATTTTTTAATACGGTTGAGGTGTTGGATTTGGTTGCCAACTAGACTGTGGTGCAGGTTCAGGCTGTTGTATAACAGGAGCTTGTTCTTCTGGTTCAGGGTCTTTAGGTATAATACCAACAAACTGACCTACTCTTTTACCAATATTTTTGACACCGTTCCATACTCCTCTTCCGACAGATTTTATTCCATTCCATATACCTCTTCCAACTCTTCTGAAGAAGTTTCCAATACTACTGAAGAAACCCATTTTACTATATGTAAAAATCTAATGTCCGCCTAGTCTCTTACGTTTCCTGTTGAGTTCCATAGCATTCTTTAACTGGAGCTCATACATTCTGTTTCTCCTCTGGTAGAAAACATATTCTGGGTCAACTCCTGTGTTCGCGTCATCTGCATAAAGTTGTTTATATCCCACTTCAGGGTTTGTATAAAACTCTTTCCATCTCATATTTGCATACCATGGTGGCAAACCTAACGCAGCGTCATTTGACATGGCAGTTTGCATTTGTACATCTGTTGGCACTTGACCATAGTTTGCCATTGCAGTTTGTATTCTAACTTCATTTGGAATATTCTCTGGGTTTGGTTGTCCAGGTTGCTGTGCATTCGCTAAGTTCTGTGCGTCCATTTAATATTAGATAAAAATATCTCTTACGAGTACATATACTGAACATTTGCAGGCATTGGTTCATCTTCATATTCTCTGTACTTTTCTGCCACGTCAAATAAATAAATGACACAATGGAAAAAACCTAAAACTAACAATCCGATTTCAAACCACATTTACTTACTAATAAAATTTCTTTATTGTGACACTTTCTCCAGTTTATAGGACCTCTCTCATATTCTATCTTGTCATATATAAACTCATAGTCATGTATGTCCTCTAACCATCTCATAACAGTTTCCAAACCACTTTTATCGGATGTAAAGTAAAAGCATGGATGGTTATGTATAACGTCTAAAGTTTCTAAAGAGTCTCTCAAAGTCCAGCCTACTTGGTATTGAAAATCCCATGTGTTATAGAACGGCGGGTCCACTATAAAGAAAACATTTTCCTTGTCTTTATATTTTTCATACAAATCTGTCCAATGACATCTCACAAACTCTATACCCTCAATATATTTTTCTATGTTCTCTTTGAAAACATTTGTATAGTTAAGATATAAAACTTTTGACATAAGTGTTTCAATGTCATGAACTCTTATAGCACCACTATATAATAGTCTAGCAGATATACTATTCCAGTCTATATATTCTGCTTTTTTCAAAACCTCTCTCACAATATTTTTCTTATCTAATGGTATACGTTCCATCTTACCTATAGGTATCTTTTCTTTTAACTCTTTCAATATATTGTTTGTGTCTGGAATATGTTTGAGACGGTCCATATAGTTGTCGAAGTCATTGCATATAATCTTTGAGTCTGGGAATATTATATGACATAAATGGGATATATAGAAACTTCCACCGAACAAATCTACAAATGTTAGACCATTCGGTAGTTTCTTAAGTTCTCTCAATATAATATCTTTACATCTACTCTTATTTCCAAAGAACGGTAACGGTGGTTTTGTAAAATTCATTTATATATAATAATAAAAATGTTTTTACCCGAAAAGTGACAGAAAAGTGACAAAACGTGAAAACATATATAATTTGTGAAAAGTGAAACAAAAAGTGGCATTTAAAAAAGTGACACTATTAATATGATGTAAATAACAACGGTTTTGGTTTTGTCACCGGCTGGTCGGCTGGGGTTCGGTCCTCCTCTTGGGTCTTGGGCAAAATTTCTTATGGGCTAGAGGGCACGAAGTGCCTGGAAGCCCCTCATACCTGACCTGAATAAATTAATAATGAGATTATAAATTAGAATTATTTCTCTTTTATTTAAAATAAAAACTTAGTTCTATTTAAATTCGATAAAGAAGTACGAAAAAGTTGTATTATACGTATGATGTTGCCCGATGTTTGGTAACACTATTGTAGAATATAAGCATATATGATAGAAAAGCAATATGCTTAATATCGAGTAATTCTAATTTTTTACGAAATTATTCAAATACGTTATTTTTTAAAATGAAAAGATAAGCATACCATTATGCAGTAGTTTGCGCACATATACTATGCTGATGAAAGTTGGTCTCTAATTCGAAACTTGAGTCTGTCAAATTGACGTTCAAGTATTAAAAAGTTGTATTATACGTATGATGTTGCCCGATGTTTGGTAACACTATTGTAGAATATAAGCATATATGATAGAAAAGCAATATGCTTAATATCGAGTAATTCTAATTTTTTACGAAATTATTCAAATACGTTATTTTTTAAAATGAAAAGATAAGCATACCATTATGCAGTAGTTTGCGCACATATACTATGCTGATGAAAGTTGGTCTCTAATTCGAAACTTGAGTCTGTCAAATTGACGTTCCATCTTATTTTAATCGATATTCAATACAAATGAATTCATATTATAATAGTATCTAGTATAACTAGGTATTCTATCACAGTATTTCTTCAATTTATTATAATATTTCAGCATTTTTTAGTTTCAATGCTGATTTGTTCCTTAGCTTGTAAACTATAGTTACTTTATATCTTCGGCTATTATCCTATTCAACTTAGACGTAAAAAAATTAAATAACGTATAAATATAATTTTAATGGTAAAAGATTAAATGTTTATTCCGTATGTAATGTGATTTGATTTGGATGGTAAGATAAGTTTCAGTATAGTTTTTGTTAATTGATTAAGAATTGTTGAATAAAATTCTGGAACTTCGTCAATTTCTTTGATTCAAAAAAAAAAAAAAAAAAAAAAAAGGAAGTGGGGCTTCCAGGGGCTGCGCCCCTTCTAGCCCTGAAGATGTTTAGTATAAATGAAGTTTATATTTGGAGGGCTTCCAAGGGCTGCGCCCCTTCTAGCCCATAAGAAATTTTGCCCAAGACCCAAGAGGAGGACCGAACCCCAGCCGGTGACACTTTTTGTGTCGCTTTTCACAAATTATATATGTTTTCATGCTTTGTCACTTTTCTGTCACTTTTCGGGTAAAAACATTTTTATTATTATATATAAATGAATTTTACAAAACCACCGTTACCGTTCTTTGGAAATAAGAGTAGATGTAAAGATATTATATTGAGAGAACTTAAGAAACTACCGAATGGTCTAACATTTGTAGATTTGTTCGGTGGAAGTTTCTATATATCCCATTTATGTCATATAATATTCCCAGACTCAAAGATTATATGCAATGACTTCGACAACTATATGGACCGTCTCAAACATATTCCAGACACAAACAATATATTGAAAGAGTTAAAAGAAAAGATACCTATAGGTAAGATGGAACGTATACCATTAGATAAGAAAAATATTGTGAGAGAGGTTTTGAAAAAAGCAGAATATATAGACTGGAATAGTATATCTGCTAGACTATTATATAGTGGTGCTATAAGAGTTCATGACATTGAAACACTTATGTCAAAAGTTTTATATCTTAACTATACAAATGTTTTCAAAGAGAACATAGAAAAATATATTGAGGGTATAGAGTTTGTGAGATGTCATTGGACAGATTTGTATGAAAAATATAAAGACAAGGAAAATGTTTCTTTATAGTGGACCCGCCGTTCTATAACACATGGGATTTTCAATACCAAGTAGACTGGACTTTGAGAGACTCTTTAGAAACTTTAGACGTTATACATAACCATCCATGCTTTTACTTTACATCCGATAAAAGTGGTTGGAAACTGTTTATGAGATGGTTAGAGGACATACATGACTATGAGTTTATATATGACAAGATAGAATATAGAGAGGTCTATAACTGGAGAAAGTGTCACAATAAAGAAATTTTATTAGTAAGTAAATGTGTTTGAAATCGGATTGTTAGTTTAGGTTTTTTCCATTGTGTCATTTATTTATTTGACGTGGCAGAAAAGTACAGAGAATATGAAGATGAACCAATGCCTGCAAATGTTCAGTATATGTACTCGTAAGAGATATTTTTATCTAATATTAAATGGACGCACAGAACTTAGCGAATGCACAGCAACCTGGACAACCAAACCCAGAGAATATTCCAAAATGAAGTTAGAATACAAACTGCAATGGCAAACTATGGTCAAGTGCCAACAGATGTACAAATGCAAACTGCCATGTCAAATGACGCTGCGTTAGGTTTGCCACCATGGTATGCAAATGAGATGGAAAGAGTTTTATACAAACCCTGAAGTGGGATATAAACAACTTTATGCAGATGACGCGAACACAGGAGTTGACCAGAATATGTTTCTACCAGAGGAGAAACAGAATGTATGAGCTCCAGTTAAAGAATGCTATGGAACTCAACAGGAAACGTAAGAGACTAGGCGGACATTAGATTTTTACATATAGTAAAATGGGTTTCTTCAGTAGTATTGGAAACTTCTTCAGAAGAGTTGGAAGAGGTATATGGAATGGAATAAAATCTGTCGGAAGAGGAGTATGGAACGGTGTCAAAATATTGGTAAAAGAGTAGGTCAGTTTTGTTGGTATTATACTAAAGACCCTGAACCAGAAGAACAAGCTCCTGTTATAAACAACAGCCTGAACCTGCACCACAGTCTAGTTGGCAACCAAATCCAACACCTCAACCGTATTAAAAATTATATTTTTACCGTTCGATAAGTAGTTGTATATGAAACTAAGTTCTAAGTAAAACGCATGGTATAATGGAATTATTCTTTTTCTTCCATCTGTAGTAAACCATACTTGAAAGTCTGAAATACTTCCACTTGGTGGTTCGTATAACTTTGTAGGTTTTTTTCGTAAAAGTCATTTGCCAAGCATAAGAAAGAGTTTTGGGCGCCAGAAAATGAAGCATGAACAATAATAGCAGCTGGTCGAAAACATCTTTAAATAAATATGGTTCCATCTCTTGCATATCGACTGTAAAATATTTGGCTAAAGGAAGTTCGACTTTCTGATTTAACATTCTTTGCAAATAATAC